TTTCCATAAGGTTAAAATTTTCGTTTCCCATAGTGATGCTAGTGTCATCTGCATACATATTTGGTATTGTATGAGCGAGACAGCCCGGAAGATCATTAATAAAGATCAGAAACAGCAACGGGCCTAGTATCGATCCCTGTGGCACACCGCATTTTATTATACCCGGATTTGAAAGGACCCCATTTATAAAGCATTTCTGGCTTCTATTAGAAAGGTATGATTGGATCCATTTTAATTCGTCACCAAAAAAGCCGTAATACTGCAATTTATTCAACAAGATTGTGTGGTCCACAGTATCGAAGGCTTTCTTAAGGTCAACAAAAACAGCTATTTTTTAAGTTCCCTTTGTCCATGTTATTGAGCCAAAACATAGTATCTTTATGTAAGGCCGTCAAAGTAGAGTGTCGAGGTCTGAATCCCGACTGATTTTGTGACAATAAGTTATTATCACTTAAATATTCATAAAATTGTTTAAAAACGATTTTCTCAAAAACTTTAGCTATTACTGACAATACAGATATTGGTCTATAATTATTTGCATCCGATCGTTCTCCGCTCTTAAAAATTGGGGCTACCCTTGCACTTTTTAGGTCATCGGGAAAAATACCACTTATTAAATATTTATTAAAAATAATTGAAAGAGGCTCGGATATGATACCTGCAACACCCTTGATCACGTTACATGTTATTTTATTTAGGCCAGATGCCTTTTTAGAGGGGATATCCCTTATAGCCTCCGCAACCTGGCCAGCACTAATGTGCTTAAAATTAAATTTACTTGTACTTTGATTCACATAAGTGCAAGGATTTAAAGTTGTACTCGGAATATCACGGGCGAGGTCCGGTCCCAATTCAATAAAATGTTCATTAAAATTTTCAGTTATAAGTTTCTTATCACTTATAATACCCGATTCGTTTTTTTTTAAATATTTACATTAGTCCCTTTGGTAGGTTTGTTCAAAAGGTTATTTAGCAATTTCCACGTTTTCTTGGTGTTGCCTTTATTCGCCTTTTGCATGTTTTTAGCTTATTATTAACCTTGTTCCTCATTTTACAGTATTCGAACCAGTTTGCTTCAGAACGATTTTTGACAGCATGCTTTTTTAGGTAATCCCTACGAAACACCATGTCTCTAATATCGAATATAATCCACGGGGCATCACGATTTCTAACTCGTTTAGTTCTAATTGGTGCATGAGCATCCAAAACTCTATTAAAAAAAGCCTTCCACATTCGCCACATTTCATTAGGATCATAAAATCTGTTCTACAGTTCCCATGGTATTTTTTTTAAATTGTCGGTAAATGCATTCATGTCAAAGGTTTTATAATTACGAGTCTCAATAATCCTAGGTCGCTCGCGTGGTATTATCATACGACGCACTGCATATATCAAACTATGGTCACTGATAGAAAGGTGACATACTCCACTAGTCCTTGTACGATGAGACGCTGTTGTAGCATAGTGATCAATTAAAGTTTGCGTACTGCTTGTAATACGTGTAGGTTGTTTAATAAGCTGAGTATACTGATATTCATCATATAGAGAAGTAAGTTCCGATGTATGTGGAGTTTTATTTATCTCCAGGACATTACAGTTGAAATCACCTAGTATTATAGATTCCTTTTCCTCCATTTCTAGCGACTGGAGATAGGTTTCAAATGTATCAAGAACATTTAATTCACTTGCTGGAGGTCTGTACCAGGTAGTAACCAAAAATGGTTTTACGAATTTACCTATAATCTCGATAGTTAATATTTCAAGATCAATGTCAGAAGTTATTTGTTTGGTCAAAAAATTCCATGTCTCCTTTACGTATAGCAGAACTCCACCCCCATGTCTATTTCTATCTTTGCGTACTACATTGTATCCTATTATTGAAATATCCTTGTGAGCAATTGTGCTGTCTAAACGCGTCTCATTAATTGCTAAAATATCAAGAGTTTGGCTGGACATGACCATTTTTAATTCATCTATGTGGCTTACAAGACTAGCAATATTAAGTGCCGCAATTTTGAAACCTTTCAGCGCTTTGATATTCGATACAGGATCGTAATTGCTAGGAGATTTATCACACGTACTCTGACTATTTATTTCTGAAATTATATCAAGCATACATGTATTATTCATTACTGGAGCGGTACCAGAGAACTCACTTAGCAGATTCTCCAAGCTCATCGCTTCCTTGTCATGTATGTTACACGATCTAGGTGAGCTTCCCACGTCGCAGCTGAGTGATTTACCCTCATCAGAGGCGGATATTTGTTCGTAGACTTCTTCTGTTTGTATAAAAAATGGGATTGCGAATTTACAAGCTTATTTCGAGGTGGATTTACATATCCTATTCTTATTAACTTTAAATATGCACAGATATGTTTTCCTAATACCCTATCTCCTGCTTTGTTAAGATGTAAATTAGATCTATTTAAATGTGTACAATTTATATTTGAGTTATCAATGAAGTGCACATTTTTGTTAATACACCATTGATTTATAATACGATTTAGCAAAAGTATTTTCTCTGGGTTCACCCGACCATCGTTTCTCATGATCACACTAGAAATAGCTATATTATTTGTGCAGCCTTTGAATTTCATTACTAAATTTTCAAGATCTCCTACTACTGCTTCAGCTGGTTTGTGCACTAAATCATTGGTGCCAACGTGAATAATCAAATTTGAAAACGACTCATAAGCCATTATGAGTCTAGCTTAGTTTCTAGAGTACTTACGGTAGCCCCGCTATATGTGTAACATTTATAGACGATCCTCGACACGCTCTACCAACCTTTTGATTACAGATGTGTTTAGTCATAGAGTCTCCGACAAGCAGTGTTTTCTTACTTGCTTTAAACTTTCGCTTTTGGGAGTTTCGATAATCGGTTACCTGGTCTTCGTAACATCGATAATCGGTTACCTGGTCTTCGTTACCTGGCCTTATATTAAGTTGAACCCTAACCCCCACTCTAACCCCTACCCTGTTTTAACCTTAATCTGGCTCTAATCTAATCCTAATCTAAAAATGACTACCTTTTTTCCCCGCCCCTGCGCGTCCAGCCTCCCTAATCACTACGTGTGAGGATATGTTGCATTATTAGTCTTCAAAGGTCAAGGAGAGTACTATATAGAGGATGTTAGACAGAGGTGTAGTACTACAATACTTCATGTGAACTCTTCATATGCGCATCGCTGTTTTTTTTACAAAAAACGCCTGGGTACGAGACAGGGTGTAGTATGCGATAGCAGACTGATCAGCACTGCCTCATTCTCGTGCCAAGAGCCTTCTTACGCGCGGTGCAACGAGGGGCAACGTTCGTTGTAGCCAATCAGGTGCCAGTTTGATATGGATTTGGCCAGAGCCCCTCGTCGCGGTCCGTTGACCGCGCGTAAGAAGGGCTCTGGGTACGAGAATGGCACTGCCTCGGAGATTAGTCTGCTGTTTCTCCGCAGCTCCAGTGGGAGAGGGGGGGGGGGCGGGCTGAGTTAGTCTGCAATCGCAGACTAACGGCGGTGCGAATATATAAATTTTACGTTTGTGTGGTGAAAACAATTTTTTTACAAACGAGCGCAGAGAGTAAGTAAAAATATTGTTTTCAGCTTTCACCACGAGAAGATAAAATAATAATAAGATATGAAAGTTCAAGCCAGTGTATTTAATGTTCTTTTTATTATATATAGTCGTTAGTAAAAATAACACAAAGAAAATGAACATTTAATCGATATCTTCACTAGGGGAGATCTAGTTATAGAAAATATCTCACTGTGTATTTTTTGTGATCGGCACTGTCCACTATGTAATAAATAAGGATACGAGTGCTTTTGTTTTGAATTAAGAATACAAACAATAAAGTACATGATATAAAAAAAGTATCTCTGTAAAAAGATTTATTATAACATTTAAAAATTATGCGGAAACCATGTCAGGTCAGGGGGCTGATCATTAATGAGGTACGGACTAATATAGCGGCTGCTCAAAGTGCCATCTGTAAACTCACAGTCTACCTCGGTCTGCTTCACGCCAGTTCCGGTCCTAATATAACAGTCACTGAAAAACCCTGATAGGGAGTGTGCTGTGCAATATCTGTTATCTGTAACTCAAAATTACCACAAGCAGGGGCGTAAATGGGGGGTGGGGGACGGAGGGGTTGGGGGGGGGGAGGGGGGGGAGGGAGTGGTTCACCCCCCAGAGAAATGATCCAGTCGGTCTCCTACATCCATCGGTCTTTGCACGTGGTGCTTTGCGAAGCAAACTAAATAATTATTAACTCGGAGACATTTCACACTCACGGAATCAAGCAGCTCAGAAATAATATGAAGAAATATTATCAGTCAAAACCCACGCCAAAGATGAAGTTTCCATTTACTTATATCGATATGTCGCGATTTGCACTTTTATTTGGAATTTTGATTCCGCAAGGTCATTCACGTGCAGTGGCGTAGCTAGCGGTCCTGCTTGTCCTGCCCAGCAGGACTAAAAATTTCCCCAAATTTCCTTACTAAAACATTGCTTTATTTCTCTTGAAGCTTTAAAAATTTATCATTATCATATTGTTATTTTGTCTCATTTTCTCGTCTTTTTCGTTATTATTTTTTAAAAAGTTTTTCGCATTGTGTTATATTTACGCAATTTCACAGCTTGCCGGGTCTGTTACCTAGCAACTGCAATTCTACATTGTTTTACACGCGCTCGTGTTTCAGTCCTGCCATTTTCAAATGGCAGGACTTGCTAGTATATTTCATAGTAAACTCATACAAGAAATCTTGGTTTCTGATTGGATAATTAGGTCTGCGCATGCTCAAACCAACTGTTTACAAATGCGAAGTCCTGCTCTCTCGAAATGGCAGGACTTGGCCTTGTATTGTCTTTACTTGCGAGCTTTCCGCGTGACTAAACACACTTTTTACTAATTCCGTCGAGATTACTCAAGATATGAATATGGAAATCAACGAGTGTGGAAGCCCAGTGTGATTTGGATATAATTTCTGGCTTCTGCTAAGATATTTTAGCTCACGAAATGCATGTGAACAGACTCGACTGATGATTGTGTATTTTTATAATACAATATAATGGGGAATACAAACTTCATTTGTGAAGATTGTCGTATTGATATAAAGTAAGAACGTAATATTTACTGCCAGTTCATCTGCTTTGTGCATTTGAAACGAGCACTTATATGGAGTTTAATTTTTAAAATGATATACTGTGTACCAATTCACACTGTTTTAAATGTAGATATTTGGCCGCATACACTATATTATTAAACGCTATATTAATACCATAGGCATAGCGTACTGAATTACATTCAGAGTGCTGAGTGCCAGGCGTAGTGATCTGTAGTTGATACCACTCCATTATATAAAGCTTAACACATTACTAACAAACGTAGTGAATTTTTAACGAATGCTAGCGGTAGCGTTATAGTGTATAAAACGCCGTGTTCAACAGTATAATAGTTACGCAATTGTTGACTATGTGCTTGCGGTTGGATTATGTGTTGATCAATTGGAAGATCGTATTACAGACGCGTATTGTATACATGATATTTTCCTCTTTTGTGCGACTATATTTAGTTACAATTTCAGCTAAGCTGAAAAATATATAGTGAAATATGATAAAAAAAATGCATGGATTTCAAAAAGTTACAATATTTTTTTTCTAAAAAAATTATCAAAAATTTTCCGCTAATCACCCAATTTTTTGATGTTCCCTTTCGAGTATTTCGCCGTGAAATCGCAGGAAATGGCCATTCCAGACTTCTAAAATTCAAAATTTCCCGGGGGAGCATGCCCCCGGACCCCCCTAGAATGTGTGGGTCTTAGAGCAGGACTAGTCAAATTTCGCAAGCTACGCCACTGTATTGCGTTAAAACTGGTTACATAAAATCTTTCTCCATTTCAGCTTTTATAGTCGCCAGGCATGTTTTAAATGACAAGCTTTTCATGTGTAAAATCTAATCAAAATTATTGTAGCATTTGTAAATTCTGAACATGAACATGCTCCATGGGACATGGCTAACAGCCATGTTGACCTAACTCTTAATAATATATGCATCGATAAACACGTGTTTCTGCACAATTTATCGTTTTTCTAATTCCACTCGTGTTCAAATATAACAGTATATATCAACACGGAGAATCTATTATATTTCTTATGGGACAAACAATGAAACGAAAGAGTATGAAATTTAGTTTGTGATTGTGTTTTGGCGTATACTAATTTTCAGCTTTTATTTAGATTATTTACAACAATTCATTTTTCTGCCGTTCTGGTATATCCAATACTTCGCAGAAAACCTTCAATGAAACAGAGTATGCATCCTAAAATAAATCATATAAAGCCTTGTTACTGCATGTAATTTTTCGAAACTCACATTCAACACATTTTTGGGTATTCCTAAACCAGACTACTGACTAGTCTTGACTAGTGAATTGAACACATGCATTGGCCCACTATAAAGCAACTACCATAATAATCTTCATTGCCATATTATGCACCTATCATTTGTTTCCACCACCCCTGGGAGGGCGGGCATCTCTGGGGGATTTGACAACAAATTCGTTCCCGAGCGATGGGCGTTTCACAGAAAAATGCAACCCGAGAGTCTGGCAATTGACAAACGCGCGAAACCGGAAGTCAAAGTATATAAAACAGCATACATGTATTAAATTTTTACTGTAAAGAAGTTTAATAAAAAGTTAAAAATTCGCCGCTATGGAGAACCTTTCTGTGGAAGATGTGTTTTCATTTTTGGAGGATAGCGATTTGCATGAAGTTGCAGTAATATTCAAAGGTGAGTGTTTTTATTTTAATTTCTTTTCTACTATATATTTGTTCTATAATGTATTAAAATATGTGCATGCTTTCAAAGTGATTACAAAACCAAATTTATAGAGGCTGTATTTAAACGTTCTATTTTATTTGCTTTTGGTAAGTTTAGTGAAGGCAAAATTGCCCAAAATGGCTGAGTAAAACATATAATAATACTATGAAGGTGTTCTGCAGAACGGATGGTTATTAGTTCAAAATAGATTGTCCATTAATTCAAGTGAGCACTTGTTAAATCAGGCAATTGTTAAACATGGCCAAATCTCACTTGACCTTTGAAGTTGAATTCAATTTGATGCTAGTGGTAAGGTTATTTTAGCCCTAGAATTCATCAACTAGAGGTAGCAAATTCAACTGTGGAATTCTTCATGGGTATTTTTAATGAGGGGTCAATGTAAAAGTGAAATTCCTCAGCCTGGGTGAATTCTGATTTTCTCAGGGGGTGAATGTTAATTAACAGGATTTCTACAGGGGATCTCAGCTATTAGGGCAAGAGTTCTTTTAGGGGTTATAGTAAAACCCTTGTCTTGAAAGGGGGCAGATATTAAACGGGATACTGTAAACCTCCGACTATAAACCCTTATATTTCTTTCGTGAGCAATTTTTGATGGACTTATACAAGGGGGTGGGGCTTATATATAGGGGGGGCTTATATATTGGGGGCTTATATGTGGGGGCTTATACATGGGGGGCTTATACATGGGGGGGCTTATACATGGACTATCTTTTGTGTTAGTAATAAACAAGTCGGTGAATGTTTTTAAATATCGTTCTCTGCTATATTAAAAGACAATATCATTGTTGAATACATAGTGGGCTACTGGGCTTATATATGGTAGCCCATTTAGAATGAGACACCTTGATAATTTATTTGTCTGTTTTGCTTTCCACAAAGGCTGGCTTGCAACGGCTGGCAGGCGAACACTAAAAGCCTAGAAAGAGAACCAGATTTTTTGCATTAATTAAGGCATAATTATAGCATTAATTTGATATTGATAATCTATTAAGATCTTGAAATATAGATATGTTTAAACTTTGGTATGAATGTTCAAATAATAAGTAATATTTGTTACCTAATTTTTTTCTTGGCTTTATAATGTCAGTGGAGCAAAGGATGGAAAGGAAATTTAAAATTTTAAAATGCATTGTAAATGGACCAAATATATACTGTAGTTTAGTATAATTATTCTTATTTTCAATTAGCACTTTAAATGTTAATAGTCTGTTTGAAATATACATAAGGAATATTCTTATGTGTTGTACACAATTATGTTCAGAAAATGATATTGATGGTGTAGCATTGGAGGAAATGTTGAAAGAAGAACCCCAAAACTCAATAAAAGAGTTGATCCCTAAAATGGGTCCTCGACTAAGAACATTGAGAGCTGTTGAAAATAATGGGAAGCCAATTGCCCAACAGAAACCAGCGAGAGTAGCCTCACAAGACAGTGAACATGTTTCAGCATCATTCAAGGGGCAGCTGAAATTAAGGATGGATGATGGACAATGGAGCATGGAGAAGATGGATGAAATAGTATGTATAGTAAACTACTATGCTGCAGTATACCACTTCAATACACTCAGCTAGAAGTTATATGTTTTCTATATTTTATTTGGCAGTCTCAGGCTACTCTGTTTTTCTTTGATAAATACAATATTGATTATACAATATTTTGCATTATACTGTATATACTAAAACTGTCTGTACCAGTGTTGGTAGTACCAATGTGAAAATGCTGTGCTGAATGGTTATATTACTACCTAAGAAAATAAGCAGAAACTCAACGTTTCGAGCGAAGGCCCTTAGTGGCTACTAATTAACTCTTGACGAAGGGCCTTCGCTCGAAACGTCTAGTTTCTGCTTATTTTTTAAGGTAGTAATATAACCACTCAGCACAATATTTTGCATTGCCTGCCCAGTAATTATACTGTACTGTAGCTGCCATCTTTATGAAATGGTCTATGCAGCATATGCACTCTCATGCAATTCACTATATAGGAATTGAAAGAACTTGGCAATGCTGGTGATGCTAAAGGTAAACTAGAAGAAGCATCCAAGATATATGGATTAAAAGACAAGAGCAGGTTACTTACAAATTATGAAAAACTGTAAATGATGCTTCATTTCATCTTGTGCAAGGTGATCCATTAATAGCCACCAGGGACAAACTGTTCCAAATGGCCCGGACCAAAGTTAGGGAGGATGGATTTTGTTATAAGAAGGGTGCATCTCGTTCTAAATTAGCAGAGGTTGATGGGAGTGATATACCAACTAAGCGACCAAAAACCACATCAGATGAGCGCAGAAGTCGACTGGAGGAACTTGAAAAAGCACAAAACGAGATAGAAAAATCCATTAAAATAAAAGAGCAGAGGAGAAGCAAAGCAGAAAGTATAAAAGATTTTGCATTGTGTGATAAACTTTCAACAGAGATCCGAGGACTTCTCAGAGAAAAACACGTCCATGAGAATGAAAAAAAAGATTTTAAACAGGAAGGTATCCCAAGCAAACTGGTTTGCAAAGAAAAGGCCCGAAAGCAAGAACAAGCAGAAAGGGGAAAATCTCCAAAGTCAAGTTCAGCAACACTTGATTCTTTGTGGTCTAAACAAACGAATGTTTCCTGTACTTCTGCCACCACAATTATGGACAATACAATACATGAAGATCCAAACGATATTGAAATCACCACAGTTAATGATAAACCAGACCCAGAAACCAAAGGCCACGAGGAGTCAACAAGTAGATTGGGGAATCAGGATTTTTAGAAACGCCCTCCAATGAAAGATCAATAGGAGGGTTGCTTGAAATTTATGCTCTTGAAAATAAAAAACAACTGTCTAAATACGAGACAAACAATGATATTTCAATTTCCATTTTTAAGGGATTGACTTTAAAAGAATATTTGAAAGCAAGAAAAGCCTTTTGTCAGATGTATCACACTAAGAGGAAGTGTAAATGTTTGGGATTCATTAAAGTAGCCGAGTACATCTTAAAATTTGGCTATGTTAAATTAAAAACTGCGTTTATATGTGTCACACAACACAAACAACCCTGTAAATCATGTATGCATGTATTAGAAAACGAGGAAATCGAAGAAAATCTTCCAGAAAATGTTGGACCAACTGTAGATTACACACCAGCTCATGCAAAACGGCCATTATTGCAGATGCCTATCGCTGCTATAAGAATTGATGGCATTGCAACATTTCTGTGTGATGCCAAAGCTAACACAACAATGCTCAAGTCTCTCCTAAGAAAAAAATGCCAAAGCTGCAACAATCTCTCCAAAGATTGCTTCAAAGAACTAATTGCATTGTGCTCATCAGACAGGGAAAGGGACTGCCTTAAGTATGCTGTTGCAAAAGCTGATATTTGATGATATTTTTAAACAGCCTGATAAGCTAAAAGATCTACTTGAAAGATGTACTTTTAACTGGGTTGCCTTATCTGAAATAGTCCAAGAAGAATTTCCTGACATCGATGTGACAGATGTTCTAACAAATATTTTGTATAAGTTACCTTATCTTGAGTTGAGCAGCCAGCAGTTACATCTAATCGAACAGAGCCAACAGGTATTTAAGCAAATAGAAGAGATTAACGAAGAAAATGCAAAGATTGAGAATGGGTTAATAGTTTCCGATGATGACTGGAATGAAATGAAAGATCCTTTAAGTGAGCAGGGAAAACAGATCATCATTAAACGGATCAAATCAATCCGAAGAAAAAAGAGGAGAATTAAATAAAAAAATTGCTGAGCAAAATATACTAAAAAGAAGACAAAGTAAAAATGTGGAGAAGATTTTGAACAAATATCCGAATATTGGCAAAGATATAGAACAATTTGTTCAGCAAGCTGGTGTCGGCACAGATGCCTGGAGGACAGGAGTTCTTACCTTTGACGGGAACAGAAAGGTTAAAAAGAAAGTGACATTTCATAGTATCAAAAAACACCTGGAAGAAAAGTATAAAACTAACTTCAGCTATGGCAGCATTGTGCAACTCTGCGTTGCCAGGAATAAAAGAAGAATTAATGCGAAGAATTATAAAGGAGTTGCTAAAGTCACATGTCGGCGGTCAAGAAAGGGATTTGACCTCAAATTTAATCAGATAGCCATTGGTCTGCCGCATTGTACAGAGGGTTGGACTACATCCAATACAAGGAAGGTAGCCAAAAGATGATCCTAAATCGAGATGACCTTTCTGTGTTTAGACTAGATTCCACAACATGCAGCAACAAATGTCCCACCGTTTGCATCAAAGACAAGGTTTCTCTTGCTACCAAAACTGACTACCAACAGAAGTACCCATGTACACTGCAAACCACGTCTTATAACTTCACTGGAACGGAAGACGAAGGTGAACTTTGTGCAGGTGTTGTTAAGGGACCACTTTTGCATCAAAAAACCCTGCGCAGCATATGCAGATGATTTACAAATGCTTCAAGAGTATTATGAAATTAAGTTCTGTGAAAAAGAAACAAGTGTTCCCAAAGAAATCGAGTGCATACGGGTTGATAGCAGTAGCGACGAAGCCCCTTGCTTTGAAGAAGTTCAATTCTGGTGGACCAAGAGACACTTTGAGAGACCGACTCATGTCCAACTGGTGACGAGCAGGCAAAGTGGAGGGAGCAACTTAAATCGAGTCGAGCTTCAAAATGGTTGTGAAGTAAAAGCAAGGGCAAGTCTTTTTATACCTTCAACATTAAATGGGCTAAATTCTGATGGAAGTGGCAAAGTAGATGATTCAAAGCTGAAGAATAATCTCTCGGATGCAATAGGTGTATATATCTCAAGAGTTGATGGAGCACCTTGTGGGGACACAAACATTCGTCTGTATAGAGGAGCTAACAGCGAGGATAACCAACTTCTAAGTGGCTTCGTAAAGACTTTTTTGAATGGGTTGAAAAAGCAAAAGTGGGTGTTGGAAATGGAGCATCCACATGAGTACGACCATATAAAGCGCATATGGGACATTAGAAACTCACACATAAACAAATCTGTTCCCCAAAGGTACATTTTTCAGCTATTCTGTTATGAGAAAAATTGTCATCCTCTATGTCCTCATCCTCTATGTCAAGTTGGAAGACCAGAGAACAAAATCTTGTGGTATAATGGCAGACCTTCTATTGAATGTATCCCTCTGCCGGTACCAGATCCAAAACGACCGTTTGGAGCTGAAAAATGCTCATCATGTGATGGAGAATGTGCAGGACATTTCCTGCCTGCAGAAGAGGTTATTCAACTTATGCTACAACAAAAGAGACCATTTGGTGAAAAACGTCCCCCGTCGGATATAATCAAACTGGAATTTAAGCGTAAAGGAAATCAGCTATTAAAGGAAGATTCCTGTCGAGATTTGGCAAAACAAGTTTTACTTAGACCAGCAGAAGTAACTCTTTGGTTGGAACACTTGAAATCTGTCCAAAAACACCGTATCGAGGGCGCTAAAAAGGCAGCACAAACAAGGAAGCAGAAAATGCTCAGTAAGCCAAAACCAAAGCAGAAGAATGCAAAGGTTTGGTCCAGTATTGTATTATTTCCCGAAAATATTACACAGCTCTACAGTATAATAGTGTGAGGAAATTGCGGCATATGAATTTGCAACTGGTCATGCTATGCTAATAAACGTGTACTTACTAAAGGATTGCATGAGTAACTTAAATAATTAAAAATATGCATAACATGACCTGTTATTAGGGCAGGTTTTGCCATAATCAGAAATCGTGTATTAGTTGTATTTTTTTCGTAAGTTTCCTTGCCTACTGAAGATGAGCACTACTGTCAGTTGCTGAATTTTTATCATGAAGTTATAACAAAATGTACTGTTGTAAATTCTTTTGTGCAGTTAATACAGTGTATGCAGTACAGTATATCTATCCGCAGTATTAATAAGTAAAGTTTAGAAACCAACTTAATCTACCAATAAAAGTAGTTTTTAATTCTCAAATATTTTAGAAAAATACAAGCGAAAGGGATGAAAGCATATGTGGCAAATGTCAAGAAGAAAATCCGACCGATACTGTGAGCGATACAGTTTCCTGGGTTATGTGTGATGAATGCTGTGTGTGGTTTCATGTGAAATGTGTTGAAGTAATCAGTGCAGATGTCCAGGACAGCTGGTTTTGTAACACTTGTTTAAACAAGTCCTTTTGCCAGTTGTTTCCTCAGTGATCCTGTATTGAACGGAGAAATTGTGCAAGACACTGTTAATTGGATTCAATGTGATAGTTGCAGAAATTGGTTTCATACAATATGTGTTGGAGTTAAAGATAATGCATTACCAACATGGTTTTGCTCGATTTGCAAACATTGATATTTATGTATTTCGTTATAGTTTATGAAAAGCAACTTCTTTATGCTGTTCTGTGATATCCTGTAAACTAAACTACATGTTTTTGTGTTCTATGTTCATAAATGTATTCAGTAGGATGCCAGGCGTTGTTTCGCTGAAAACAGATGGGAAATTTAACTTTCACTGGATAATTTAAGTTATTGTGAAACCTACTATTTAAATTGTTATACACTTTAATACAATAAAAGGTGCACTTAATAAACGCATTAATGTAGACACTGTTTTTGGGTACCGGCCAATACGCTATTATATTACTATATTTACAACCTCTCCTAGGCGGACACCTCCCGTAAGCGGACGCGGACACCAAAACAACCTTCCCAAACAACATTATAACCTCTTATAAGCGGACAAACTTGATTTATTTTCTGTTAAATTAATAATTATGCCGCATAGTTGACTTAATACAGTATTAGAATAGAAACATATGTGTTTGATATATTGTGTTATTAGAATGAGCTGATGACAGAATTGATACGGAAACTATTAATTCAATATTCCGTATTTTTGTTATTGTAGCGTCACACCATTAGCAGTTACTGTTAATTTTTTCTTTATGAACCATTATAGTTTCTCATCCAACAAAGCATGATGTCCAGTCTTACGTATTTTGTTCCTCAACCAAGTCAAAGAAAATTGGTTGCCCCGGAACGTATAAACGCCTGGTGTCCGCTTTCGGGAGGTGTCCACTTTCGGGAGGTGTCCGCTTATGAGAGGTTGGTTAATATTTAACTGTTTACGTAATTGTTGAAACATGATTCTTTTAATAATGATGTTAATATGACTATATTATTGACAGCTATTATTGCAAATTTACTCTAAAAACCCCACCGTAAAACCTTTGTGTCCCTAGATTATATACAAACATTACCAATTTAATATCTATATTGCCGTTGTAAATATGAGACTATAGTTCAGCTAAGATGGCTTGAAAAACGGTTATGTGCGCTTGCTTTTGTCCCGCTAAACGTATGTCTGTAAGAATGTCATTAACATTTAAGACAGCTTGGCAAAGTTCTTCAAAGATTTTCTGCAAAGTTCTTCAAAGATTTTCTGATTTTGTGCTTGTCTCGTTCAACAGCTCTCTTCTTAGTCCTTCCCGCCAATCTAATATTGTATTAAGTCAACTAGGCGGCATAAGTATTAATTTAACAGAAAATAAAGTGTGTCCACTTACAAGAGGTTATAATGTTGTTTGGGAAGGTTGTTTTGGTGTCCGCTTCCGGGAGGTGTCTACCTAGGAGAGGTTGTAAATATAGTAATATAATAGCGTATTGGCCGGGACCCAAAAACAGTGTCCGCGTACAAGACCTAGGTGTCCGCTTCCGGGAGGTGTCCGTAAGTAGAGGTTCGACTGTATTATTAAAAGAATCATGTTTCAACAATTACGTAATCAGTTAAATATTAACCAACCTCTCATAAGCGGACACCTCCCGTAAGCGGACACCAGGTCATGGTCCCGAGGGTGTCCGCTTATGGGAGGTTCGACTGTATTTCGTTTGGTGAAACATAACTGTAAAAATTTTGAGAAAGTATTAATTAAAGTTGAATCTTTAGATGAAATTATAGATTGCAAGTCATCTTTATGATGAAAAAAGGTTGGTATTGGAAAATTTTGTAAGTTAGAGATAAAATCATTTCTATACTTTTCATAGTATTTGCAGGAAAGTGAAAAATGTTATTCGTCTTCGACTTTGTTCAAATGACAGTATTCGCATAAACGCTCTTCTTGTGGTATCTTCCTATTTCAATTTGTAATTTATGACAGCTAATACGAAATTGAGTAAAGGTTCTTATTTGTGTCGGGTTATTTATGATATCTAAGTATTCCTCTAATTGATATTCACATTTAAAGGTACTTAAAAGGATAGTTTGGACGAGTTTGTTAGTTTATGTTTCCAGAAGTTTATGTATTTGTCTTTGGCGTTCTGGATATATAAAGATATTTGCGGTGATGAAATATCATCTAGCGCATTTATCTCAGCTGACGAGTCATATAATTTTAGTATTTTCATCCACCCGATTAGCGCGTTTGACGCCGGCTGACAGCCGGAAATTTTGTCTCCGATTGGTCGGCTGCCAGCCGGGCTGTACTATAGTATACTGTTCGTTCAAAAAATGCGCGCATTTCGGAGACTGGTTCTAGAATGTTTCATAAGCAGAAAACCACCAAAATTACATTAAATTTTCCAAAAATCATCGAAATACATCTAAATTCATCTTCCCAATGCATATAGCTAACTATGCGACAGGTAAATAAACGAGAAAAAAAAACTATTTCGGCAAAAAGAAAAATTCAAATTCGTTTGCACGCATTCCGGGACCGAACTCACGCACACGCTGAGTTTTGTCCCTCTGCGCCACCACGTCTTACACGGAAAATATGTTAATTTATTGTATATATACAGGTTATTCTTAGCCAGCGCGATTAAAGATTGCGTAAATATGTACACCATCGTCCACGACCAAGGGTACAGTAGCAGCCGAGCCGTATCTACACTTTAATACAATACTTACAATACATCGCGGCATAGATCACGGCTTCCAGCCGGGGTTATTTAACTGTAATACAATACTACCATGCAATACGAGTGTCAGCCATGCCTGTCAGTAGTATACTGTAGTATACTACGATACTTCACGGCTACCAGCCGACAATACGGCTATCAGCCGGGCCTGTCTGTAGTATACTATAGTATACTACAATACATCACAGCTACCAGCCGGGGTTATTTAACTGTAATAAAATACTACAATGCAATACGAGTGTCAGCCGAGCCTGTCGGTAGTATACTGTAGTATACTACACTACATCGCGGCTACCAGCCGGCAATAGAGAGGTTAAGATACCCCGATTCCGGTTTACGGGTACGGGTGATATACACGTATCCGTACCCGTAAATCGGAGAATAACTTGTAACTTAAGAAATCCAAGATACGTCGGCATGAGAAAACCGATTAGAGAATGGCAACTTTCGCTGTTGAAGTTCGCCATAAATTGTTGAAAACTCTGACCAGTATATGTGCATTATTTATTTGGGTAAGATATTGAAAATTTGTACTGTTTAAACAGCCCAAAAATAGTAAACAGAAAACACCCGTACCCGTTTGTCGTTTACGTGTAGACCATGGTTTACCGCGGGGAAACGGGTAGAAATTACAGGTAAAATTGCTGACATCAGCAAAAATTGATAAACAAAATGGCGATACTCGTACCCGTAAACCGGAACCGGGGTATCTTAACCTCTCTAATACGGCTATCAACCGGGCCTGTCTGTAGTATACTACAGTATACTACAACTCATCACGGCTACCAGCCGGGGTTATTTAACTGTAATAAAATACTACAATGCAATACGAGTGTCAGCCGAACCTGTCGGTAGTATACTGTAGTATACTACAATACATTGCGGCTACCAGCTGGCAATACGGCTATCAGCCGGGCCTGTCTGTAATATACTATAGTATACTACAGACACGCCCGGCTGATAGCCGTATTGTCGGCTGGTACCCGCGATGTATTGTAGTATACTATAGTATACTACAGACAGGCCCGGCTGATAGCCGTATTGTCGGCTGGTAGCCGTGAAGTATCGTAGTATACTACAGTATACTACCGACAGGCATGGCTGACACTCGTATTGCATGGTAGTATTGTATTACAGTTAAATAACCCCGGCTGGAAGCCGTGATCTATGCCGCGATGTATTGTAAGTATTGTATTAAAGTATAGATACGGCTCAGCTGCTACTGTACCCTTGGCCGTGTAGGATGGTGTACGTATTTATGCAATCTTTAATCGCGCTGGCTAAGAATAACCTGTATATATACAATAAATTAACATATTTTCCGTGTAAGACGTGGTGGCGCAGAGGGACAAGACTCAGCGTGTGTGCTGAAGGTCGTGAGTTCGGTCCCGGAATGCGCGCAAACGAATTTGAATTTTTCTTTTTGCCGAAATTGTTTTTTTTTCTCGTTTATTTACCTGTCGCATAGTTAGCTATATGCATTGGGAAGATGAATTTAGATGCATTTCGATGATTTTCGGAAAATTTAATGTAATTTTGGTGGTTTTCTGCTTATGAAACATTCTAGAACCAGTCTCCAAAATGCGCGCATTTTTTGAACGAATAGTATACTATAGTACAGCCTGGCTGGCAGCCGAGCAATCAGAGACAAAATTTCCGGCTGTCAGTCGGCATCAAACGCGCTAATCGGGTGTTTCATCAGGTTAGTGTATAAAGATATATAAAGATCCTTGGAAATTAGAAAAGCTTGTTTTGCAATTGCAGAATTTGGTAGTGACTTTATATATGGGCAACATATTTTATTATTCGTTTATGAATAGGCCTACTAATGATAAGTGGGAATTTGCCTAATTCCCCTCTACATGCTATGTTGGTTGCTTTCTTGTGAACACCTAAATACATTTTGCAGAATCTTATGTGACCTTTCTCTGTTGGAGTTTTATCCCATTTATTCAAGTCAGTAGTAGTGAATGCTCCCCACACTTCTGAATTATGCAGAAGAATTGGGGATATAATGCTGTCAAAAATTTTGATTGCTAATTTTGGTTTTATATTATGGAAATTCACTTTTTTCCTTACAGCAAACATAGCATGTAATGCCTTTTCAGCTAGTTCCTTCATGGCTAAAGTAAATTTCCCTGAAGGTGTAAGTTTTAGTCCTAGATAGGTATATTCTTGGGTAAATTGTAGTGTTGTGTCTCCTATGTTGAATTTGGGTATTAGTTGCTTTTTATTTGACTTCTGCATGTAAGACCATTATCTTTGTTTTCTTTAAATTTATCTGCATCAACCATTGTTTGCACCAACTGTTTAATTGGTCCAGACAGTTTTGAAGACCTATCTTTGATCTTGAAAGTATAACAAGATCATCAGCGTACAAGAGAATTTTGTCTTGTTTGGTAATATGAAGGGATCGGAAGCTATATTATTGAACATTGATGGAAGGTCATTAAGATAAATATTAAATAGAAGAGGACTCAAGATACATCCTTGTCTTACTCCTTTAGTTGTGTTATCTGTGTTATCATCCATAGTTTTGAGTGTTTTCCAAAAAGAGTTGGGATTTTCACTGGCCGATTTTTCAAGTTCAGTTAGTTTTTGTCTGTGAAAATCCTCTTTCTTGATTTTCAAAGTATTTTTGTAGTCTTTTAAGGTAACGTGATACTGATTTCTTATATTGACGTCCAATGGGTTTCTGTGTTTTTGGTTGGCTAATTTTCTAACAGCATGTCTTTTAAACCTACATTCCTTGTCAAACCATTTTTTATTGGTTGTATTCCTAATTTTGCATCGTTTCGAAGTCTTTTATTTTTAAACACCTTTTGCTAGTTTCTTGTAATATATCTTGGAATTCTTCAAGACATTCAATAACTCCGTAATCGTTGTCAGAGAAATTGTTTGCCAGAAAATTCTCTAGTTTATTTTGAATGTCTGACGATCTAAGGCAATTAGCAAATGTCCCATTAGATGTATTGTCCCAGATATATTGGTGAGGGAGTACATTGGAGAAATTGGTGTTAGAAGTAGTGGATGTCCCGGTTGTAGTTTCTTTAATATCTATCCACGTAATAATTTGGCTATGGTCAGATAGTTTGGGGGTTTCACAATAAAATAATTATTGTTGTCAATTATATTTGCATCACATATTGCATAATCAATTGTGCTTATACCATTTTTATTATGGAAGGTTGGTTTACCAAGAGAGTCACCTTTCATTCTACCATTTAGGATTTGGTAATCACAGTTTTTACAAAATTCAATTAATCTTTTCCCATGGTTATTAATTGTGGTATCAAAGTTTTCTCTTGTTTTTTTATTAAATTTATCTTGGTTAAATTGATATACATGTTTGTTACCTTCAGTAGAAACAAAATCTTCAAGTTTGCTAGTTCTGGCATTAAAATCACCAATTAACATTACATCTCCTTTTGTAGAAAACATGATAGCTTCATTCTCCAGATTATATCATAGTAATTGGATTGTTCTGGTGGTATATATACACCACATAAATATAAATCATTTTCTGAGTTTAGTAATTCTTTAGATATCATACACCAAATTGAAAAGTGTGATTTTTTAACAACTGAGACATATTTTTGGAATTTATTGTTAAATACCAACGAGATACCTCCAGATGGCCGAGATTTATGTTTTGATTTTGGAGGTGCGATATTGGACGATATTGCCTTGAAACCAGGGATGTTGACAGAGACAGTGGTCTCAGTCAAAAATACAAAGTCATAAGACTTTATATAATTAACAAAATCTTCATTTTTTGTCTTATCACCAATGACCTTATTAGAAATGCCATTGATGTTCCATGCACTAACAGAAATACTTGGGCACATTTTACAATCAAATTGAAAGAATGAATAATTGACGTGACTCTGAGGAGCATCAAAGAGAAAATTCTTGTTTTCCTATATTTTATACTTGAATATATTAAATGAATATAATATTAAAACTCTAGTTTGTGTATATATATACATATACACATACCAGTATATAAAATTATCTTTTAATACACATACCCCTGGAGTGACTTGATTAGTTCAATAAGTTGAGGTGGAAGGCAATTGTTTTTCTTGATGTATTGTTGATTGTAGTTCCAGGGAGAGTTAGGAGGTGGGGGTAAATGTGATGAAGGTAAATTGGTGGGGGGTAAAACAGGAGGGGGTGGTGGTAAACTTGGGAGAGGAGGGAAACTTTTTGGGTCATAAAAGTTGGGGGGAGGCATTGTCTGGTGGTGGGATTGGAGGGTGGGATTATCGTTATTCTTGTTGCTGGGTTTGTGGGATTATTTAGGTGGTCTGATTGGATGTGGTGAGGGTAATTGTGGTGAAGGTAAATTGGTGGGGGGTAAAACAGGAGGAGGTAAATTTGCAAGAGGAGGGAAAGGGATGGTGGGGAGAGGCAGGATCTGATGGTAGGATTGGGAGGTGGGATTAGGTACATTATTTCTGTTACTAGGTCTTTGGACATTTCTATTCATAGGTTGTGGAAAGTTGAATGACTGGGGTAAACAAGATGATGGTAGATTTGTTGGAGGTAAATATGGTGAGGAGAACTGTTGTGAGGAAAAGTCGGATGGGGATGGAAAATTTGGTTGAGGGAATGTTGAATTATGGTAGCCAAAGGAAGATGGTGCTTGAGGTAGTTTTGGGGGTTGAATTTATTAAAAATTGGGGTGTTTTGCAAAAATCTTAACTCCAGACTGATTTAAATGTTTCTTGTCGTAGAGGTGGTGTCTCGAGGGGAAAAGGTTGTTGTGCCCAATGAAGAGAACACTGGGTTTTCTTGAGTAATTGGTTTCAAGTACTTTATTAATTTTTCCTACCTGAGCATGGTGTGTGTCCATTCTGGGTAAGAGCGATGATAGGATTACTTTGCTTTCCGGGTATTTTTCATTTATTAGATTGATTACTTCTGATGTTTTTTGAACAATGACATTATAATCATGACATTTTTCTAAGTCATTTGTACCACAGTGCAAAATAAATGTTTTTGGTGTATTAAAGGTAGCTTCGTTTATGATGTCTTTTGCTTTTTCGAGTATGGGACATCTTATGTAAGAGGTAGTTGAGCGTGGGCAAAGGCGATTGGTGTCTAGAAGATGCCGATTCGAATCACAAAGGATGATGGTTTCACTGTTGTATTCTTTGGGAAGGATTGTTTGTTGTGGATCTAGAAATGTACATGAGCGATCTTACGACCTGTTTTGCAAAGAAGTAATTGAAGAAAAAATATTGGGAAAACACAAGGTTTACTACATAACTACATTATGTGACAAATTTCTGTCTTATCTTTCAAAGGAACAGGCAAGTGAATTAATCTATCGCACATCCAAACTGAAAATTAAGTTGCAACGACACTACCCACAGTTAGTATTTTTCTCACCCAGTCGACAAAACAAAAGTGAGCTTGTTTACTGTGAATATATCGAAACTGGTGAGGTGCTAGAGAAAATGGAATTTGAAAGTGTAAATTGTGAGTCGGCATCAGATTTGGAACCTGACGACGAAGTCGAAGAAATGACTGGAGAGATGCCTCAAGAGGTTTTGCAAGGAAATGATGAACTTGCAAAGTTGTATGGGATAGCTTTACTATTGCAATCTTGCATACAAGAAACTGCAACGTTCCCAAGAATTTGGCCACCAACTTCGGTAGACATTTCCAATGATGCAGCGAAAGATATCACTCCAATTGTGCTATTTAATTTTATCGCTTGGGTCAAGAATAAATCAAACGAACCTACTCTCGATAGTTTTGTACGGTTGCAAAAGAGTGAAGAGAGAAAAGTACTTTCGGTTACACAAGATATGATTTATAGCACCCATAACGGACGGAAGCGTACGCCAAAATCTGTTGCACTCAGCATGGCTGTTTGACAAATATCTGGTTGTTCCAGCATCATAGAAGACGATGTCATTCCCAACGTGAATGTTCCAAAAAGTCAAGCAAAATCTCTTCCTGCGTCTCACTCCGAAATTTTGCCCTACGTCATTGGCAAAAAGAAGTCTACTAACCTGAAATCCATCTGCTGCTCGTCCGATCTAGAAGAAAAAGTATATGTTGCTGTGCAACAGTTTGCTAAAAATACGATTTTGCGTACTCTCTTATCAAAATGCATTATTGGACGGGTTCAACACATTGTTAGCTGAAGACAAAATCCCACGTGTTTCAAAGATTGGTTATTTGCCAGTCATTGATGCCTCACCAACAGAGTACTCTACCGTGCACACCGTTTTGAGTAAGAGTAAAGATATAGCATCACAGTTCGGGATGGATTACTTGGTGTTAGTATTTGACGAGGCAATCTACTCCAAAGCACAGAATATCAGATGGAAGAACCCAGGGTTTATGGAGAAATTTATAATTCGTATGGGGGATTTCCACGCAATGTCATTTTGTGGTGCAATTGGCAAGCTTTTCAGAGATGCAGGTCTTCAGGTAAATAATTTTTGTTATGATAGAACGAAAAAAGGATTAGACAATTTTTTTTAGTTTTCTTGCAAAAAATTGACAGTGTGCATTTCCCTATTACACCAGAAAGAGACTAGAAAAGCATACATCCAATGCTTCGAGGCGGTCTGTCAGCGTTTCAGACAATTCTGTATAGAGGATGTGTCACCAAATAGTACACTCCCAAATTAATCTATACTTGTTTGTTTAGGACATATTGATTGAATCGAGCATTGTTGGTACAGGATCTGTAAACAGAGTGATGAACGGCAAGTTTTACAACGGAAGCACCGAATGTCACAAAATAATGCATTAGGCATTGGAAAGAATTAGATTCCAGGTGTTCATGGATTCGCTGTCTCCAGAGAAATGCAAAGATATAGAAGATCAAATATCAATACTGAAAGATTCGTTTCCAGGTCATGACTTCGAGAATCTGCTTGAAAGATCAGCTTTTCATGATATCATGATGCAGTATGGCATGTTCATTGAAGCACAAAAGCAAACATGTCCAGCATTCTCACTCTAGAGTTCTTACATTGATAGTTCAGGTATGGAACTATCACAGGGACTCTGCATAACGTAGTAAATACATACACAGTTATAATTATCTAAACTAGAGCTTCAGTATACAAGGTATATTATCTATGCTACTTGAGTTGTTAAGTCAGACCTTTATTTTTTGCAAAGCTTTGATTATGAAGTTTATCCGTGCAACAAGAGAAAGTGATTGGCTACTTCATTTGTCAATGCTGAGATCGATGCTTCCATGGTTTTTTGCCGCTGATCAAGTTAACTACTCAAGATATACATCAGTCTACTGGCTTGAGATGAATGCTTTGGAAGAAACACATCCAAGTAAGAAATAATTATAAGTAAGTGTTAATCCTAGTTTCCATTCGGCCAAATACAACCATATATTATGTATTTTGTAGTCGGACTGAATTTTACAATTTGATCTAATAGGGTATTTTTATGTACTGTTAATCCCATATCTGGTGTCCAAGTACTAAACAAAACAAAAAAATACATTCATTATTCGCTCTGTTGAACGTCGGAAGTTTGAAGTAAGACACCAAGATGGCTGCTGTGACGTCAAATGAAAACACCCTATATTGTGTGTTGTGCATTTATTCTTGATTAGGTGCAGCTGAAAACCTGAAACGACATTGGACAGTTAAGAGACAACAGTGGTATGGTTTCTCTTCCATTGCTTGTCACCAAGCCATAGAGCAGACAGCAAACAGAGATTCCAAAACAAAAGGAGGATTGATTGGCTTACCCTTAACAAAGGAGCTGTTAATAGGTGGATACTTTCCCAGTCAGAATGGTCCGTGATCACACGGCAGTGTCAAATAATGGCTGGTGCTGTTGATAATGAAAGGTATAAAGCATTTAAATTAGAAAAAACTAAATGTTTTTAAAACTGCATTTCAGTGCAATCAGATGTTCAGAATTTTTTTGTCTGGTAAATGCTCTTCATTAATTGTTTTTGAATTATTTTGTTCCTTAATTTAACGATGCTTTTTAATGGTTCTCGTAGGCAACGTAAGAACTTAGATGAAACTCACAAACAAAATTATGAAAAAGAAGTCAAAAGCGTCATCAGCACGATTGAAAGCATGGTGAACCCGTTTGAGAAGGAACAGACAAACCTCATTCATCTCGCGAGCGGTGTCATAGTGCCATGTGCCGTTCAACATGATCTACTTTGTGCAAAGTCTCTTGCAGAAAAACGCTTCATGCAATTTGTTGGAGAAAACCTCCTTAGTGAACACCAGATCTATTTGATACAATAAAGAAGCTATTCGCTCGGTCCGTATCCTTTGAGTCTTGCCACTGTAGATGGTAACCCAACAAAAACTGTAGAGGCAAATTTGATGCACATGCTGGAAGAAATGTCATCGGTATGCACAAATCATTTTCTTCCCTGCAACAGCACTATTACAATAGTTACTACAAAGTCTGACAAGAATTCCCAAGACTTTTTTGGTGAACTAGCTGCTCATGTTTTATCACGGTTGTTGTCTCTTGCGGGGTTTCACAAAGCTTCACGGATAGACTTTGTTGCAGACCGTTACCCAGATCATAGCATTAAGGCTAATGAGAGAAGTAGAAGAGCTGCCCAAGGAAGCACTCTGGTTAATATATATGGAAAGAGTCAGCCAACACCTACGCAATGGAAGAAGTATCTCAACAGTGGTAAAAACAAAGAAGCTATCATCTCTTTTCTGATCAACTGTTGGAAAAACTTAAAGTCAGATGATTTGACGGGATTCATTTTGTACGCTACACAGGGAGATAAGTGCTTCAAAATTTCTCCCACAAGTCAATCTACAATTGTTGAGACAATAGAAGTCGTAGAGTTACAGTGTGATCACGAAGGAGCAGATACCTGTTTGCTGCTTCATGCAAAACATGCATGCGACAATGATTTTTCTGTTGTGGCTATCAAAAGTCCAGATACTGGTGTGTTTCTTCTTATGGTCATGATGAAACAGAATTTCAGTGCCGATCTACACTTCATCACCGGAAATCAGAATCAATCAAAGATCATTTCAGTGAACGAAGTGTGCGACAAAATAGGCAGTGAGACATGTAACTTGATTGTTGGGTTCCATGTGTTAACAGGTTGCGACTCTGTCAGTTCCTTCTATGGTAAAGGGAAAAGAAAAGCCTGGAAAGTTTTGTCTGAAAATCCAAAAGGCAAATATGCATTTAGAATACTTGGAAATGAAGTTGACCCTACCGAGGATTTGTATGAAATATTGGTGGAATTTGTCTGCGCTTTGTATGGCCATAAAGATATGACGTGTGTAAACGAAGTGCGGTACTCTATGTTTTGGCTGGGGAGCTTTTCTGATGAATGTCTGCCACCAACCTAAAGAAGCACATCCAATGAGCCAATTATCAAGCGTTTATCTGGAAACGATGTTTACTTACTTTGATTGTGGCACCAAGTCCAGTGGAAAGAGGTTGGGAATTGAAAGATGAAAAATTAACAATTCATTGGATGACCAGCAATGTGGCCCCAGATCAACTATTGGAGTTTGTAAATTGTGGATGTAAGAAAGGGTGCAGTACACAAAGGTGTTCTTGTTCAAAAGCAGGACTACAGTGCACAGAACTGTGTAAATGCCAGAGCTGCGGAAATACAGTACCTGATAATAATTCAGACGACGAAGAATACTTGTACGACGATTTCACTGAATACTTAGCATCGGACGTGGAAAGTGAGGACGTTTAATTTTTTCTATTGAAAATTAGATATATAATAGGATGTCCCGAACCTTGTGCGAAGATAAGTAAAGGATTCAGGATTTTCGTGTTAGCTTACCTTTTCGTGTTACCTTACCTTTTCGTGTTACCATCTGTTGTCGAGCTCTTGTATAAACAGTATGAAAAATTCCCATATATACGCTCTATCCTGCCTACGCGCGCCATTCCGCCTAATCGCTGTCTAAGTGGGATGAAAACATCCCATCCCGCCCAGGCGGGATCATACAACTAGGCCCTTAGAAGGCTAGAAATTGTATTACCACCGTCATAAATTTAATGAATGTGCGACTGCGATCGAATGCATCAGTTGACTAGTTCTGTTATATCTTCTTCTGAGACTGGTTTAGCGGCATTTTTTATATAAACTGACAAGCAATTAATGAAAATTTTCCATTTTTCAATAGAAAAATACCGCAGCAACATATTTTCTGTTTATTTTTGAAAATTTTAAGTTTTACTTGCTCTTTAATGCGGATTTTATATCGCTTAATAACGAATTAAGGAAGTCAGCTAGCCTGCATCCAGCCAGAATTTTCCCTAATTTCGGGCTGAACCGAGTTGAAAGAGACTGGAGAGAGTAAATTTCACTAAATACCATCACTCAGATTATTCAAAATGGCGGCCAAAATATCAAGCTTCGATTTCGAAGACTTTGGATAAAGATTTCTCGAGAATGGGCAGGTATTTTTCTTGGGAAATTTTTTTGTACATATAAATAGTAGTAAGGATTCTTATTATACAAAAATGTTCTATTTCTCAGAGGGGGGTCACGAAATTATACAATTTGACCACATAGCCCACAGCCTATTTGAGATATTTTATGACATTTTGTTACCTTTAGAACTCTGTATATCTCCTTCTAAAGTGCAGGAAATGGCATTTCAGAATTCAGAGACTCTAGTTTAAAATTTTCCCAGAGAGGGCATGCCCCTGGATCCCCCAGAATGTCACCTGCCATCACCCCCTTCGGCGGGCACTACATCACTACTTCGGCAGGCACTACAACACTTACATCATCTCACTTTTACATTAGCTCACTTATTTGTACAGAAATAAAGTCGCATAATTGTATTGCCAAGTACGCATTGCCACGGACGTTTTATTGTTTTTCACTGCATTTTGTTTATATGATAAACAGAAAAATACATGGATGCTTGGAAATACCAGATTTATTTCTCATGTTGAACATGATATCTCACTTGTTTGCTGCGCTCGTTCGTGAGATATGTTCAACACTCGAAATAAATCTGGTATTTCCGCGCTCCATGTATTATTCTCTATTTAATTTTATAAAGGAAATTTCACAATTTTTTGAAGAAAATTTCGGTCAAAATATACCCTGGGAGCAAGAGGGTATTGTTTTTGCCTTTGTTGAATAACCCTCTGGTGAAATTGGCAGGGTTTTTTGGGTTCATTCCACACATAACTTTTAAAATTGGAAGGAAAGAGTTGTTTGGTTGCTGAACTAGGTTCAATAGACTACGTGTTTTGATTGGATATTGTAAACATCATAGCCTGTTTGCAGGCGCTTGAAATGTCTACAATCTATATGATAATATTATTATATTAAAATAAACAAACCAGACTTGATTTATACTTGAAAGAAGCTGTTCAGGGCTGCATTAATAGATAGATTTCCTGAATTAAAAGTTTAACATCAATACCGCGCCTTGTCCAATTTGATTCACTGTAGAGATGTATTTTGCATCCTGCCTACCTATCAGTTGTAATATTTTTTGACACTATCGTCTGTTATTTGTATCAATAAAAATGTTTTAAACTTTGCAAATTTGCGTTGTTATGCGTTGCTAAGGTGTGTGGCTTTGCGGGTGCATGCATATATTAAAGTACAACATATTTGTACACTAATCAGGCGGGTGGGTTAGACAAATCATGCGGGCAGAAGGAGCGGGCTTTGCAGGTAAATGTTTGCACAATATTTCAGTTTTAAAATACATTTATTTCTTCAAAACATTTTACAAAATCTAGTACGGTCTACTTCTAAGAGCGTAAAGTTTAGGTGTTTTTGTTATTTTTAAAGAGTTGTCATACTCTTGTCTATCTTCTGGTGATAATCTTGCAACATCTTCGCGCTTCATTGGAAGATATTTCGGACCTTCTCTTTGTTCAGGGGTCATCATTGCCAAATCTTGGGGCCTCCAATCTGTAGAGTCTACCCAATTGTGAAAAAAATTGGTCGTTCACCTTCGGTTGGTGGTGACGTAAGGAAATTAGGTTTAGGAGTCGCAGGGACTGGTGATGGTATCTCAATAGATTCATTGGGAGGTGGTATCTCTGCAGGCACTAGTGGAGTTGTCTGAACAGGAGCTTGAGCCGGAACATCCATCTTATTTTTGAATGTCAAAAACTGATTTAGTTGATCAGAGTATAATTTGCTTTTTCCCACTGCACTAAGCTGTGGTGCTTCCATGATTTCTTTCATTTGCTGCTCGGCGTCATACATGGCCTTTACAAGTGGTGATTGACAATACGACTGTTTGTGTAAAAATTTTGCAATCTTGCCGGGAAGTATGTTGGTCTTGAGTCGTTGTTGATCGTCTGTTGTTGGCTTTAAATCCAACATCAAATACCCATAAGGCCGGCTCGTAGCATCTACAGTACTTTCCCAGGATTTATTTGCCTTGCAAGCATAGAAATTTGTTGTTTATCTCTTGGTGACTTGAACAACACGATATAGTGACCATTAAGGTTGATATTTCTCATTTCTTTGCCCTGATGAAATATATTTTGGACAATATAGATGATAGACAAATTTCGATGGTGACTTCCTTTCGTAAAAAGATCAGAAATACGTTTATCTCGTCCAATATGATCAAATTCCGTTGCAATATGTCCAAGTAATCTGCGTTGTCGATATCGTAGGGGATGCCTTCATTTAACTCGATTCCAGGCATTATCCTCATCATATAGGATGGTTGCCATTGACCATAACACCAAATGATACGTTGAGGAGTAGGACTTATAGTCATTTGAGCATTCTCCAAGAGAGATTTCACCCATATGGTTTTGCTGCTTTGTGTATATCCTGCAACAATGCACGTAAAGGGATGCCGCATGACTGTAACTCCATTCACCGTAAGAGTTTTCTGCCCAAGATTATGAGTTCCATATGCATGGACAACCTTCTTGTGGCGAAGGAGATTACCTGCATTTGCAAACGTTTTACCGCAGGTGTCGCATTCATAAGACATGTTTACTTCTGAAGAGCGAGTGTAATGATTTAAAGCAAGGGTGAAGAGGTATATTTATCCTGTTGGTTATTGTCACGACTATGAAGACTGTGGTGATGATTATTAAAACTATTGCCATGACTATTAAGACTAGTAGAAATACATGCATGCAATAACCCCTCGCCTGTTTTCAAAAGATGTATACTCAGTGCCGTTATTAGCACTTCGTCTCAGGGTGTGTGTGAGGTTAGATAGAGGGGGGGGGGGTTACCAAAATGTTTCCAGATGTACAAAAAATTTTCAGGACATATTAATAATAATTTTTCCGAAAATACAGTTGTTTTCCAAATTCACTTTCTCATGTCCTGAGAATTACCTGAATTCCCCTGAAAATCTTCTGCAAATCTACTTAAATTTACCTAAAAGTGCACTGGAAATCTACCTGAAATTCCTCATGAGCAATTATCAGGGGTGTTGCACCCCCCCACCCCCCCCCACCCCCACCAGTGAGTTTCACGCATTCACGCAAACACTCTCTGATTTATTGTTCGTGTATTTCATCTCCCAAAATTTTGTGCATCATACTATAGAGCATTTTGCTGTTGTCATGCTCTAGCGTGGTTCAAATTTATGAATTTTTATTATATAAATAGGCCTTTCCTGATTGCGCTGAGCACTTTTTGAGCACTTTTTTTAGTTTGGAGCACTATTTTGCATGTTGAGCAACCTTGAGCACTTCTTCGCACTTTGGGCAACATTTGAGCAATATTTCACATTTCGAGCGAATTTCGAGCAACAAAAAGTCAGCGATCGCCGATTATAGAATTCAATTCGTACCTCGATTAACTAAACATAAAATTCGGTGTAAGGTTTAAAAATTGACGGGTATTATACTATTATTCTATATATAATTTAGGTAAAACTCCAAAAGAAAAGCCGTACAGCTGCATATGACATAACGGTTAAAAAATTAGAACGCTGACTTTTCATGTTCTCTTTTTTTTTGTCGTAAACAACTCCATATACGGAAGTTTGTTCCATATATGGAGAAAGACGTGGAAACATTTTAAAAAATGCTGAATTTTTTTGCCAAAATTTTTTTGCCAGAATTTTATTTGGCGGTTTTCGAGGGTTGAAATGGAAGCAGAAAACGATAGCAATGAAGACGAAGAAGTGATTGATCCAATTACAATAGCAGTAAATGCTGGAGCTTCCCTAAGTGCTCCAGAAAGTGCTTTGATAGCACGAAAGCGAAAAGTTCCGATCAACAAAGGGAAGAACAATCAAAGAGGAAGCGCCAAAACCACCAATGTGAGTACATGGGATCGTCTGAAAGAGTTCCCAAAGCAACACTTTGCCGTGGTAAACGGAAAGCTTAGATGCAATGCTTGCAGTGAAGTTCTCGCTGATAAGAAAAGTTCTATTGAAAGACACACGAAATCAAAGAAACATGAGAAGGGCCTGGCTGATATTGAAAGAAATAAATCAGAACAGCAGTCCATCAAAGAATGCCTGCAGAAGAGGGCTAAACGGGAAAATGCAAGTGGATCAACGTTGCCTTCAGATATACAACTGTATCGGTATGAGCTTGTCGAGTCTGCTCTGTCGGGAGGAGTGGCTCTATCGAAAGTGGATGCTATGCATCCCTTTCTCGAGAAATATGGTCACAGGCTAACCAGTAGTGCCCACCTTAGTGAGCTTATACCTGCTGTACTAGAGAAAGAAAAGGAGACTCTAAAAGAGGAGTTAAAGGTTGCAACGGAGGCTTCGGTCATTTTTGACGGGACTGCCAGGTTGGGTGAGGCGTTGGCGATCGTAGTGCGCTACATACAGGAAGATTTTAAGCCGACTCAGAGACTTGTACGTTTAGAGGTGCTCGCAAAGTCACTTAAGGGAGAGGAGTTGGCTCAAAGGCTGATGTCATGTTTGGCTGTGGACTATAACTTTGGTCCAGGGGTAATCATTGGAGCGATGCGAGATGGTGCAGCAGTGAATGGAGCTGCCTTGAGACAACTGAAGTTCTTTTATGCAGACCTTTTTGACGTTGTATGCTTTTCTCACACTTTAGACAATGTTGGCTCTCATTTTGAATTCCAAGTCTTGGATTCGTTTACCCGCTTTTGGATAGGTTTCTTTTCCCACAGTTATAATGCCAGGCTTGTTTGGAGAGAGAAAACTGGGCAGTCAATTCGTACCTTCAGTGACACACGGTGGTGGAGCAAATGGGAGGTGCTTAAGCAAGTGTTGGACTTGTTTGCGGATGTCGAGCCTTTCCTTCGCGAGAACGAGGAAATTTGTCCAGCAAATCGTCGGCATCTCCTGGAAATATTTGATAATCCCCAAAGCTGTCAAAACCTATGCTTGGAGTTGGCTGCTCTTATCGATGCCGGAGTGCATTTTGTAAATGCAACCTATTACCTAGAAGGGGACGGACCTTTAATTTTTTCTTGCTACGAGCGTCTTTCAGCTGTTGCACAGGCTGTTGCAGTCGATCACTACCCTAATACCGGTGCGGTTGCTCGTGAAATTGCAAATGGCAACGTTGCCATCTACAATCAGCTAATGGCACAAGCAAAGGCTTGTATTCGGCCCGGACTGAACTTTTACCAGCGCAAATTCAGCGTACAGTTCCGTGACACAGTAAGAGCTTTTAAAGCAGCACGATTCTGTTGCCCTGTACAGGTGCAAGCCCTACGTCCGACATCAGCATCACTGGAAGAGCTAAGGAATTTCCCTTTCGTCAACAATGACGCCACAATAGCGAATCTAGCGCAAGAGCTTCCTCTGTATATCGCTGCAGCTGATGGGGTCACCGTCGCATGCGAGGAGGACAAAGTCACTTGGTGGGCTGCTCACAGAGATACCCTTCCACACTGGTGTGCACTTGTCAAGAAACTACTGCTGATTCAACCAAGTTCTGCTGCGGCTGAAAGGGTTTTCAGTCTCCTTTCAAATGCATTTACGTCACAGCAAGAATCTGCTCTGCAAGATTACTTGGAAGCTTCTGTCATGCTACGATACAATAAGGCAAAAAGAGTCTAACACTGTTGTACGAAAACTCTTAATCAGTAGACAGACTCACAGAAATAAGACTAAGAATATTCAAATATTATGCACGTGATAAAGCATTTTTACGTTCGTCGTTCCATGTGAAGTAACTTGAAAAATATTATTGTTCTATATTCTATCAACCTTTCGTAATAAGTAACACACTAACAACCTGTCGAATAATACTACGCAAAATAGAATAATAGATTGTAAGGTTAATTACTTCAGTAAAAATTGACACATTTACGAAAATCTTAGAGGTAACTGTTCAAAATTTTAGCACTTTTTGAGCACTATTTTGAGATGTTGAGCACTTTTTAGCCATTTTTGCCAGCACTGTTTTAGGATTTTACCAGCGCAATCGGGAAAGGCCTATATATAAAGTATAGTGTTTTATGTACTATTTAAAACACGAGTAAGAGTGTTTTATCAGATATACAGTGTGTATATACAAAAGATAATGCAAATTTAATTAATCAACAAACTGTTATGTAGCAGAATTTACATAAATTCGTGTTCATTTAAAGAGATTTAAGCTCCTATGCCTTCAACATGTTGAACGAGAAGAAATTCACGTTAAATTTGCATTTAAGTTTTCAGTGATGATTAGCATTTCAAAGCCTTGTGGGACTAACTTTGAAAGAAAAAATGTCCAATTCCCATTGGCGGAAAATTGTGATTTTTATGGACTTTTTTTGTCAAAGCAATACTCCTTCATTTTCCAACTAAATGACGCTTACAGCATGTCATTTTAACGGTAAATAAATGAACTTAACAATGGTGTAAAAACCAACCGAATTTGTCAAATATATTCTGCGTTATTACACGCCAAATTTGGATTCGAATTATTTTGATACACACTGTATAACGCGAGGCGCAGCCGAGCATTATATATCTGATAAAACACGACAATGAGTGTTTTGAATAGCTTAAAATACGACTACAAAAGAACACTAATTAGGATGAACCATAGTATAATCATGCTAATTAAGATGATCAATTATATAATGCCTCATGTGTTTTATCAGATATAAAAAGTCACTCCACGTGACATATTATGGCTGACATGATTTGCCACAAGGTTTATGAATTATTAATGAGTATTTTAAAGAGATTTCGAGCACTGATAAAAATGATAATCTCACATGTGAAATTATTCATGATAATTATCTCACATGTGAAAATTATCGCCTTTTCAATTATCGCTTTTCTGTAAAAATTATCACTTTTCAAAGACTGTCCTTTATATAATAAACAGAAAAATACATGGGTGGTTGGAAATACCAGATTTATTTTTCGTGTTGAACATGACATCTCACTCGTTCGATGTGCTCACTTGTTCGCTCCGCACTCATGTTCAACACTCGCAATAAATCTGCTATTTCGTGCACCCATGTATTATTCTCTATTTAAACTACAACTTGACTGGTTTAAATTATTATCAAGTTATCAGTGATAGTAAAAGTTGCAGATAGAAGTGTTTTGTTTTGTTTTATATTATTATCAAGTTATCAGTGATCGCAAAACCTCCAAATCCTTAATTTCAAATGTTAGAATGTTAGGGTTTGTAATCCAAGTGAGAATTATATACATTTTAAGACATAACCAGGAACGACTGCGAAAAATGCAGCACAAGGTCCTCTGGTAGGAATTGAACCTACGGCCCTGCGATTCCGGTGCAGCACTCTAACCAACTGAGCTACAGATGCCAGCTGTTGAGCTTTAACCGTAAGTTCATGTATATTTAGGTAATCGGGTGTGCGGGTTGTGATAAGGTGGACTTCAATAATTTGGATTCTTGCACTTCACTTGGTGGCCTTAATATTAGAATGTTGGGGTTTGTAATCCAAGTGAGAATATATACATTTTAAGACCTAACCAGGAACGACTGCGAAAAATGCAGCACAAGGTCCTCTGGTAGGAATTGAACCTACGGCCCTGCGATTCCGGTGCAGTGCTCTAACCAACTGAGCTACAGAGGCCAGCTGTTGAGCTTGAACCGTAAGTTCATGTATATTTAGGTTATCGGGTGTGCGGGTTGTGATAAGGTGGACTTCAATAATTTGGATTCTTGCACTTCACTTGGTGGAATTAATATTAGGATGTTAGGGTTTGTAATCCAAGTGAGAATATATACATTTGTATATTCTCACTTGGATTACAAACTATTCTCATTAGGATTACAAAATATATACACAAAATATATACATGTACTATACATTTGTATATTCTCACTTGGATTACAAAATATTCTCACTTGGATTACAAAATATATACATGTATATATTCTCACTTGGATTACAAACCCTAACATTTTAATATTAATTCCACCAAGTGAAGTGCAAGAATCGAAATTATTAATTTCAAATACCCCGCCGGGGCTAAGGTTCGAGTGGAAATACCCAACCCCCGGGATGTGCTTTACAGGAAAATGGCTGGGCGAGGGGGATGGGCACACTTGGATTTGGCTGATGCATTAAAAGTCATGGAAAAAGAAAAAAATTTTCATATTGCTACTATAAAATGGCTTATTGTGCTTATTCCTGTGCTTATTCCAGACTGCTTGTCAAATATTTACTTGCTAGAAGTAGAAATTTACTCTGAACACTGGATGAAGAAGACATTAAATAAGTACTGGTCAATAAACAGAAATGTATTTTATTTCATAGTATTACAATTTTATTTTTATACTATAAAAATAAAATAGAAACATGCAGCATAGAATATGCAAATTCGAGGCAAAATTATTGTTGAATCAGTTTATTTATAGGATTTTATAACAAATAGCAACTATAAAAGTTTGTACCTTAATTTGTCTTCACATCGCTTTATTCTGTTAGCCAATGCTTTTAAATTTACATATTTTAGAATCAGTTCCTTTCCTGGTAACTGCATTTCTAAATGAAATCATCGTGAGTAGTGAGTGCTGAGCAGGCCGTTTTATAAACAAATTTTAGGAATTGATAACAACTTTCAAAAATATATCGTTGCACATTCGGTCACAGTCGGAAAAATGTTTGTACCGTCGCTTGCAACTAACGATGAACAGTCTCTCATAAAAACATTCGCGTGATTAGAATCTTCAATGTTTGTCAAGAACAACAACACTTAATTGTTGTTTCCCACGTGTACAATAATAAGTAACAAAACTTTGTGTGGTCTGAACGTGTTGGGCTAGAGACCTACTGGAAACTTTTACAGGCTTTTTAATGACAATAGAGAATATTTTATATGCAACCGACGGTATTTGACAGCATAAAATTGCCTGTGGCTGTGATAACTGATATAAATAAAATACAGTCTGGTTATACTGACTTGAGTGTGTCATGACAAACTCTTTATTGGAAAATTGTGAAGAAATAGTCGAATATAGAGGGTCGAATATCATACTTCAACTTGTATAGCTACAGTATCATTGGTACATAGCGTTGTGAAGACAAGCCTTTGCTTACCTTTCGCTTCAGCAGTCTTTTTTTTCCATGCTTCTCTATGCTTTCCCAGGCGAGCTTCTCTTTCCTCAGCAGTCTCCTCGAGCAAACGTTGTCGTCTTTGCTCCCTCCTTTTCGCCAGACGTTCGGCTTTCTTGTCGTTTCCTTGCCGCTCTTCTTCTTTTCAATTGGTATTTGATACCGTAATTGTTTTATTAAACTTTTTATAGAACAAATTGCTTTGAAAGCTGTCAAAGTTTTTTGTAAACGTACAAAATACTGTAGTGTATAAAAAAGCAAATTATTTTCATGAAGTATCTGTCAGTTGAAGTCGTCATTTTTCATACAGTTTCAGTTGTCATTTTTCAACAAATTTTAAATTTGACCAATCAGTGTTCACTATCCATGACAGTCCGCCATATTTTTGAGATCAGTGAGGATGACCACCCACTCAAGGTTTGTTGGTCACGCCCGCGATATTTGATGAACTTTAGACTTGGCTAATGCTTTCGTTTCCCCGGGTGTAAATAGCCGGGGGGAATTAGTACCCTCGCACAGCGCTTTGCGCCGCCGGCTCGGGGATAAGCATGACCAGTAAGACTATAGTAAAGACTATGAAGACTATAGTAAAGACTATGAAAACTATAGTCATGACTGCAAAGACTATAGTAAAGACTATGAAGACTATAGTCATGATTACGAAGACTATAGTAAAGACTATGAAGACTATAGTCTTTAGTATAGTCTTTGCAGTCATGACTATAGTCTTCATAGTCTTTACTATAGTCTTACGGGTCATGCTTATAGTCTTCATAGTCTTTGCTATATTCTTAATAATCATCACCACCGTCTTCATAGTCGTGACAATAACCAACTGGATAAATATACCTCTTTACCCTTGCTTTAAATAATTTTACACTCACTCTTGAGAAGTAAACATGTCTTATGAATGCGACATCTGTGGTAAAACGTTTGCAAATGCGAGTAATCTCCTTCGCCACAAGAAGGTTGTCCATGCATATGGAACTCATAATCTTGGGCAGCAAACTCTTACGGTGAATGGAGATACGACTATGCATTACGTGCATCGTTGCAGGAGGTACACAAAGCGGCAAAACCGTATGGGTGAAATCTCTCTTGGAGAATGCTCAAACGACTATAAGTCCTACTCCTCAACATATCATTTGGTGTTATGGTCAATGGCAACCGTCCTATATCATGAGAATAATATATCAACCGTCCTATATCATTCGAGTTTAATGAAGGCATCCCCGACGATATCAACAACGCACATTACTTGGACGTATCACAATGGAATTTGATCGTATTGGACGACCTTATGGCTCAATCTGGCAAAGATAAACGTATTTCTGATCTTTTTACGAAAGGAAGTCACCATCCAAAATATATTTCATCAGGGCAAAGAAATGAGAAATATCAGCCTTAATGGTCACTATATCGTGTTGTTCAAGTCACCAAGAGATAAACAACAAATTTTCTATGCTTGCAAGGCAAAATAAATCCTGGGAAAGTACAAGAATTTATGAAGAGTTATGAAGATGCTACGAGCCGGCCTCACGGATATTTGATGTCGGATTTAAAGCCAACAACAGACAATCAACAACGACTCAAGACCAACGTACATCCCGGCGAGATTGTAAAGTTTTTACACAAACAGTCATATCGTCAACCACCACTTGTAAACGCCATGTATGATGCCGAGCAGCGAATGAAAGAAATCATGGAAGCGCCACAGCTTAGCACAGTGGAAAAAAGCAAATTATACTCTGATCAACTAAATCGGTTTTTGATATTCAAAAATAAGATGGATGTTCTGGCTCAAGCTCCTGTTCAGACAACTCCACTAGTGCCTGCAGAGATACCACCTCCCAATGAATCTATTGAGATACCATCACCAGTCCCTGCGACTCCTAAACCTAATTTCCTTACGTCACCACCAACCGAAGGTGAACGACCAATTTTTTTCACAATTGGGTAGACTCTACAGATTGGAGGCCCCAAGATTTGGCAATGATGACCCCTGAACAAAGAGAAGGTCCGAAATATCTTCCAATGAAGCACGAAGATGTTGCAAGATTATCACCAGAAGATAGATAAGAGTATGACAACTCTTTAAAAATAACAAAAACACCTAAACTTTACGCTCTTAGAAGTAGACCGTACTAAATTTTGTAAAATGTTTTGAAGAAATAAATGTATTTTAAAACTGAAATATTGTGCAAACATTTACCTGCAAAGCCCGCTCTTTCTGCCCGCATGATTTGTCTAACCCACCCGCCTGATTAGTGTACAAATATGTTGTACTTTAATATATGCATGCACCCGCAAAGCCACACACCTTAGCAACGCATAACAACGCAAATTTGCAAAGTTTAAAACATTTTTATTGATACAAATAACAGACGATAGTGTCAAAAAAATATTACAACTGTTCTAATTCTAGCTTCTATTCTTGATAAGCTTTCAATTCTTGATCATCTTAACAGTATATATGTAAATAATGTTGAACAACATGCACATATTGACCATAGCAATGACGTTTGTTTAGTTTAAAATATGTCTCAAGTTTTGTGACGAATAGATTCCTCCCTATGGTACATACGAAAAATTCTTCAATATACCTCATCCTCGTCCCCAGGCCCAAGCTCGGGCGGCCCTCACAGTGGCCTTGGGTCAGGCTGTTGATCTGCCTCGGAATTCCGACGCAGAGGCTTGGTCGCACAGGATATGCCTTTCTCCCTAAAAACATGGCGACCGCAATGAATGCAAGGAAGGCTTACTACAAGAAGCAATATATTTTGCACTTGTAAAAACAAATAATACTCAAATTAAGTTAAAAGAAGAGCAGAAACAAGCTGTTCGTCAAATAGTAAATGGAAGGGATGTTAAATCGTTGATATACCAACTTTTACCTTCCATGTTCAACTACATTAATTCGAGAAAAAGAAATATTTCTGCCGTGTGAACAGAAACAATTGTAATCGTGATTTCTCCGTTAAACGCACTGATGGACGACCAAATAGACAAGCTAAAAACTAACATGGGTGTTAAGGCAGTTGTTTTACGCCATGATGATCATGATCAAGAAATGAAAGGTGTGTACAAAATACTTCATTTTGTTATTTTTCTATATAATACATATGTATAGACCCCTTGCCTTTTCTGGCAGGAAAATCTTTATGAAGCTCCCAATAGAGCTTATGGTGACATGTATTGAATATGCATCACAATATTATGGAGATCAATAAAGAACATTACATGACCTGTCTAGGAGATTTATCCATGCATGACAAGTGAAGTTCCATTTGACTAATCAGACATAGAACAGAGTGGCATTTATAGAAGTGACATTAATATTTAAGAGTATCATTAAGTTTCATCTATTCTGGATCACCATTCTAAGTAAAAACCAACTGGTTGGAAAGTTTATTGAAAATATAATTAACATTAAGCAATCACTATGATTGTTCTTGCCATGTTGGGGAAATGTTTCCCTTATTTTTCTGGTCAGCAGCTATTAAAGTGGTATGCATTAAATAAATTTCTTTTTCTTTTTACAGCTTATGTATAAAAAAAGTATGGATGTAAGGCCTCAGAGGTTCGCCAACACATGAGGACAAAAATAAACAATTCAACACTGTAAAGTGTTGCAAAGTGCAGAAAGGCAAACAAGAACAATAGTCAAAAACAGAAACACCAGGCTAGTTATTAAAAATATTATTGCCCAGCTAATAATTCATAAAAGGGGCATATTCAAAAAACATTTGGTATATAAAAATATTTATTGAGTAATGTTTCATCACATTACAGGTGACTTGTTGCTTGTTTTTAACTAGAATAGTCAATAACTTATTTGAGGACTATGTTTTGAGGCAAATATTAACCCATTGAGCTGCAATGAGCCCCAGTGCTTCCTACTTACTTTTTTTTTACTTGTCTAATGCTAGACGGTTTTATTTGTCAATGGGGAAGCTCTGCAGCTTAATGGGTTAACAAAAAATCTTACAATGTCTCTAGTTAACCCATTGAGCTGCAATGTGCCCCAGTGCGGCCTACTTATTTTTTACTTGTCTAATGCCAGACGATTAAATTACTTGTCAATGGAGAAGCTCTGCAGCTTAATGGGTTAATGTAATTAACTTTACATGTCAATTATAGTTATTACCCAGATGGTTTAATAACAAAGGTCAATAAATATGGCATTGCATGGAGGTAGAATAATTAATTGGTGCTTGTGTACATTGCAATGGTTTTCTTTAATAGGTTATGGTTTTGTTTTGACTTGTTATTAAACCATTGGTGAAAACTATAACTGATCTGCAATGTTTAGTATAACCAATTTCTTGTATAAATATTTATATTTGTAATATTAGTATACATTTATTAATAATCATATATATATATTTTTGCATTAAAAAATTAAGAGCGATGACTGATGAAGAACATTGTGTGTCATTTACTATTCCTACTGGAAAGTAGGATAATTTTCTTATAGGAATTCCTATAAGATGATATGTCATACTACAAAACCTGAATAGTCAAAGTGATGTACTTCAGGGATGGATCCAGCATGATCTGGTAGCGGGGTGCAAATTTTTTTAGGGACCCCTATTTAAAAATTTTTTTCGGAGAGCAATGACCTCCCCCCCCCCTGTAGACAACTTTTTAGGCAAAAAAATTTCCGGACGAGTACGTTGCAATTGGTTTCCAGTGACTTTACCCGTCTATCAACTTGTTCCACTACTGCAAAGTCTTGCTTGACTACAGTATTTGAATTGTAATTGTTGTTCACAGTTCGCTTATCATCATATTATTACTCAAATTAATGAATCTCACTTTGTCTCTAATAATTTTTTGCTTTATCATGAAACTAGCACCCCCCTGGCCATGGCTAGGGGGTTGCACCCCCCCCAGCAAATCCATCCCTGATGTACTTTCCAGAAGGGTGTATTTGTTAATAAATATTTCAGTGACAGTGTTTATAAATGAACTTTAGCAACAGGTAGCTAAAATGCTTCTTAAGGCGGATTTCCAGTCCTCTCACGAAGCAGCTCGCTGCGATGCATGAGCACTTTCAACCAATCACAATGCTGAACTGTTAATTTTAATTAGATGCAAACACTCGCAGCGAGCTGCGAGGAGCTTCATGCAAGCACTGGAAATCCGTCTTTAGACTTGACACATAACTGGTTGTCTGGTTAAATTATTAACATGCTGTATTCTCTAAATTTGCTTCAATAGAATAAATGATTTAATTCCATCTAGAAAATCCCTTCAATATTTTGTGTGTGAAAAGCCAGCTTTTCACTTTGGGTTAATAACAATCGATAATAACATTCACTTTGTGAATCAAGTATTTGATAATTACTAAATTTTCGTAGATTACATTATAAATTTATAAACTATTCAAATTGTCAAATACAATGTATAAACTTGCGTTGACGCAAACAGATACACAGCCAGAAATCTCACAGGCCTGTCGCAAGCTGTTGATTTTACCGGCTTGCGGCAAGTTGTCAACAAGTCGCGACAGGTCTGTTGGTTTCGTCAGGCGGTAACAGGCTTGCGGTAACAGGTCTGTCGCAAGCTGTTGACAACAGAGCCGTAGCGACTTGTTGAAACAACCCGCTACAAACCTGTTACTAACAAGAGATAACAGGTCTGATAGAACAATTTGCAGCAAGTCTGTTGAAATCAACAGGGCTGTTACAACCTGTTCCAACAGACCTGTCGCGAGTTGTTTTTGTCAAGTCTGCAGCAAGCTTGTTATCAGACCTGCGACAAACCTGTCCACAACAAACAATTTTTTTCCTGTCACAACAAGTTTCAACAAGCCTGTTGTAGGGAAACAAATCGAAAATGTGAGTAAAGAGATATAAAATCGCACGAAATGGACACTTCCGGCTTCACTTTCTCATTTAATCATTGTCATTGGTGGCGATATTAAATCACATAGGAGAGATTATAGTCCATAGTATCTATTCTCTGATTATTATAAAATGCAAAAGCCGCTGTTTTATTTTTTTTAAAAAGTTCCGATTTCCAAAATCCAAATTCCAATTTGCTGACGTGTGCTATTGCTATATTTCTTTAATCTGATTGGATAAACGCGTGTGCACACGTCATCATTCCTCGTTGCAATTGGGCGAAATATTACAAACATATCAATCACGTAATCATGTTTAGTATATTTTGTGTTCAATATATACAGGGTGTATCAAAATAAACGCAATTCATCTTTTGTGCTTAATAACTTTCGAAATACTATTTCTAGTTAAACGCTTTTAGGCTTACTTCAAAGCCTGTTCTTTTCTCTTTCAAACAAACTATTATCCTTGTCTCCAATGCTAGCAATAATTGCACAGGAAAAGATTTAGTAAAACCTATCATTTTTAGTTGCTGTTTAATTATGCAAGTTTACTATGTTATTGTTTAGTCAGTTTAAATGTTAGAATTTTCTTCTTTAAACTTTAATGTTGTCATCACTACATCTGGAAAACCACGTAAGAACAAATTAAAAGTATTTTAAAAGAGACCAGGTTGTTTGAAAATCCTAAACGAATGCTAAAAATCATAGAATCAAAACATTCTGGTGTCTGAGCCAGAGTGTCATCGAATTACGATGTAATGTAAACATAAATTATAGCAAGCTGATGTCAGTCAGCTTAGATGGTCCAAGCCAAAATTATATCGCATTTGAAGTTTCAAACTGTGTTAAAAATAGTGGAAGAAAAGCCGTAATTATACTTATTGTTACAATCCATTTATTAAAATGCAACATGTTTTTGTTTTAATGAAAAAAAACCCAGTTATTTTCATGAGAACGATTTGTTATTCCATCTCAATTTTTTTAATCTCCAATCGCAATAACGTGAAGTATTATTACCCGCGAACCAATGAGTCCAATTTAAGAAACAACCCACTGTTAGAAAGCTGAATGGCTACGCTTTAAAATGAATGTAAACTTTAACGTTTTCGTCTATTATTTGTTTGGCAATTTACATTTCAGTCGAGGATTGCGCTTTTTTTGATACACCCTGTAGACCACAGTAAGACTTTTTTTAAATGTTTATTTCATTAACAAACGACGTTTCGGAGATTTACTCCATCTTCAGGTAGGATTACAATTTGAATTTAAACTAACATGCGCATGCATAAACGTTAAATTGCGACCGTTATTCGCGCGTGCGAAATTGCGTAAGCATATAAATTACGTGCACGTGTCCGATTAATTCTAATAAAAATTAGAAATTGTTAATTCTGTCTTTAATGTTTAAACTACGAAATCTAAGACATTTAACTGTTCGTATTTTCTATTCAAGTCTGGATTAAGCTTTTGGATGAATAATGCTTCGGTAATTTTCCGTTCTACAGATCCTTTTGTTCTTTTTAAAATCTTAACAGACAGTTTAGGTTTTTGTCCGTAATGTTGGTCGAGGTAGTGTTTCGAGAAAGCCATGTTTTTATAGGACTTTGCTTTCGGGTTTGCTGCGGAACGAAAATGTTCTTGGTATCGAACCACCAATGGTCTGCCTGTCTCGCCTACGTACGTTGCTCCACAAAGGTCACAGTTGATTTGATACACGATGTCTTTCTGTGTACACTGAACGGGAGCATTTGAGTTGCTGCAGATTGGGCATTTAGAGGTGTCTGTGCATACTTTATCGTAAGGTCGCGATTCTACGAGGAGTTGTTTAAGCGAGCTTTGTGGTCTTTCAACTATTCTGACATTGAGGTTTCAACTCTGGGCCGCTCTTCGGATGTCAGTCGTAAAGCTTCTGGAAATGAATGGAATTGTGAATGTGGGAAGAGGTTCGACTTTCGATTTTGGCAGTTTTCGTTTTGTTGTCTGGACTTTTTTTATATAGTTGTTGCTATAGCCGTTTCGTCTCGCTAATTAGCATTAATCGGACCATAGGCAGCCCAGCAAAATGTGTAAAAATGCATTAAACGCTTAAAAATACGTATAAAGTTCGTCTCAATTTGCTATCAAGCGATTTATTTGTGTAGCTCATTATACATGCAGATTCCGATGTTTACGTCATTGTATTTTCATATAGTATATTATCCTAAGGCGGGCAACTCTTTTACAAAAACATTTACACACACTAATACGCTCGCTTCAAACAACAACAAAACCCGCTACTTTCTGAAAACAAACTACATACAAAACACCTTGGATATTTTTTCTAACTTTATTCAAACTTTTTAGAGTTGAAAAAAGTTTAGAAGTATTTAAATTTCATGGATAAAAAGTGGGTTTTTATCGAAATTATTTTTTCGATAGGCGGGATGCAAAATGCACGACAAACGTCATCATCGGAAAAATCATCGGCTTGTTGCTTATTGGCTGTTGAAAAATCGGCAAATTCCGAAGAAAGTTCATTGACTGAAGTATATTATATTCGGAATTTGCCGATTTTTCAACAGCCAATAAGCAACAAGCCGATGATTTTTCCGATGATGACGTTTGTCGTGCATTTTGCATCCCGCCTATCGACAAAATAATTTCGATAAAAACCCCCTTTTTATCCATGAAATTTAAATACTTCTAAACTTTTTTCAACTCTAAAAAGTTTGAATAAAGTTAGAAAAAATATCCAAGGTGTTTTGTATGTAGTTTGTTTTCAGAAAGTAGCGGTTTTTGTTGTTGTTTGAAGCGAGCGGATTAGTGTGTGTAAATGTTTTTGTAAAAGAGTTGCCCGCCTTAGGATAATATACTATATGAAAATACAATGACGTAAACATCGGAATCTGCATGTATAATGAGCTACACAAATAAATCGCTTGATAGCAAATTGTGACGAACTTTATACGTATTTTTAAGCGTTTAATGCATTTTTACACATTTTGCTGGGCTGCCTATGATTACACCTACAGTAATGAGACTGCATTGGTTACCGGTTAAATATCGTGTTGTATTCAAGATCGTACTGTTGGTTTATAAAGCTCTGCATGGATTGGTTCCCAAATATATCTGTGACATGTTGACTTATAAACAAAGTAATAACTACTCTTTGAGATCGAACGAACTAGGGCTTCTTCATGTTTTATTTTATTTTATTTTTAAAATTTTCCCCGTGTACAATTAATTTTATGTGTAGTATATTTACAATAATTGTAGAGTGCGGGCTAGAGACCTACTAGAAATCTTAGTAGACTTTTTATTTAGGTCTCTAGTTATGCTAGTTTGTATTGTGTTATGTAATAAATTATTTACAGTCAATCACAATATTAAAGGAATATATATATATTTACAAGAGAGAAAAAGAAGAGAAATTGTTCTTATTATAGAAGTGAATATTTACAAGAGAGAAAAAGAAGAGAAATTGTTCTTATTATAGAAGTGAATACCAATGTTGTAGATGCATTATAACAATTAGACTAAGACAATTAGACTAGACAAGCACACGTAGAAGTCTTTTGGTGATCGTGCCTTTTTGAAAGCAGGACCTACTCTGCATGTTGAACTTAGTACCGTGTGAGATTCGGCTTTCACCTTCGTTGGATTCTTTTAAGACAAATCTTAAAACATTTTTGTATAGAGATGCGTACATTAATAATACTTCTTGTTTTTAAATATTTTTAAATAGATGCTTATAGTAGTTATGTAAATAACGTAGGGAAATTTTTAAATTAGTTTCCTATTTTATGTAATTAAGCGCTTTAGAATATTCTATAGTTTTAGCGCGGTACAAATTAATAAATTATTATTATTATTATTATATGCAGCTTTTTTACTGTACTTGTCATTACAATTTCTAGCTTGGCATTCCACCCAATCTATCGCATTTTAAACGCAACGCACTGATCAATAATATTTTGGAATATATGGGCAACGATAATCTACTTGATAGCATAAAACCTGAAGTAGATGAAAACAAAGCAAATGAAGAGCCAGAATGCAACGAAGGAACACTCACAAATCATCGCGACGCAGAGAAAAGCGGAGCTGGGATTGGAACATCAGCCGACAATAAACAGCAGAAGCCAAACGACGGTAACTAATGACACTTTGATAATTTGTTTCAAAGCTGTTTTATGACAATTGCTTACAGGTATCTAAGGATAACGTATACTTGCTACAGCTACTCTCACCATGAAATCAGTAAACCCTTTGTGTTTACTTGAAATTCTTCTTACAACTAACATTCTTCAAGTGAGTTAGGGTTATCAATCTGGCTATTGACACAGCTTTGGCAAAAATGGACCCCAGAATTGAAATATTTATGCTCAATTTAGTCGACACCAAAAATCGTCAACATCGATTCATGAACTCGACTATAGTTAACATGAACTCGACTAGTTAACATCGCATTGCTGTCTGAAACCCTTTAGTGGTAAAACAACCGAACTGGTAATCGGGAGACGTGGCTTTGATTCCCGTTAGGAACTTCACATACTTTTCTAAATACAAAAGCTCGACAATCTACTTAACAAGTGAAAGTTGCTGATTATTACCTTGCTTTTCAAAAAATAAGTTTTGAAGTTTTTTATGTTTAATGTTTTCCAATTGTATTCATTTTCAGCATCAAAAGACAATCCTCCTTCTGCACCACCAACATCAACGGACATCGTGGAAATGGAACCAAAAGTTTCAAAACAGTCCCAAGATACAGTTATCAAGAGCCAGAAATACTTTTTTTTAAAGAAATTCAAACGAAAGCTCATTGGCTTTAGCCCAAAGAAAAGATACTTAGAGGAACGCAGAGCTAGCAACGCTCCTAAGAATGACAAGAGCATGTCATTTGAACATCGAAAGAACGCCCACATCCACTCATTTTATATTCTTCTGAAAGATAAAACAGCTAAAAAATTTGACAAAAGCTACATCTCATCGAATTTAAAATTTATATCTCTACTTAAGGGAGAAATACTTATTCCAAATGTCACAACAGCTGCTGATGAAAGCAATGGTTTAATAAGACTCCGTCATTATGAAAAACCCTCGTATTATTGTGACTGCCCACTTGGTGATGTGAAAGGTATTGAAGAAGAAGAAGCGAAATTATTACTTCCTATAAGTACGATGGCCGACAGGTTTACAATATTTGACAGTAAGTCTCTTCTTCAAAATGGAAAGAAAATGACCCCTGCCAGTTATGTTTATGTCAAGGTTCGATCAGTTGCTGGTGGTAGTAAACAGGAATTACAGGGTATAGTCAGGTACAAAGGACCATTGCCAAAAGAGTTTGGTACATGGTTTGGTGTCGAGTTACTGGTAAGTACACCTCATTTTATTATAATTATACATTTAAATTATGAACTATCTATGCCAGTGTAGGTAGTGTCAAAAGAGACGAAGGGCTTTCGCTCGAAACGCTGAAACTCTCCTTACATTTTTCAGGTAGTTGCATTCCTACCAACAAAAGCTTGTTAATAACTTAAATTACCAATTGTTTTCTTTTTCACCAGGAAGGTGTGGGGAGAGGCACAACAAATGGAACATATAAAGGAGAGAGATTCTTCAAATGTCAAACTGATTTTGGCGTCTTTGTATCAATTGAGATTGTGTGAAGACCAAATTGAAACAAAAAATGAAAGTAAAACAGATACCAAAGAGGTCAATATTACTGATGAGAGCAACAGTGGTGTGTTTACCAAAGTTAAGAAATTTGCAGAAGGTTTGTCAAACTTTGTGCTGTTAGAACAATCACAAGAGGAAAATTTACAATTTTATCCTTCAGAAAAGCAGGATAAAAACAATGCTGGGCATGAAATAGATGACAAAGTTTGGATATATATAAATGATAAATTATATGGAGGACACATAAAATATATTGGTCAAATACCAGGGGGCAGAGAAACTTACGCCGGAATCCGATTGGTAGGTATTTCAATCCCTTGTTGGTTATGATTTTCAGGTTTTTAAGGCTTTCTCTCACTTTCTATATGGCCAGAAATATAAACATGAATTAGTTTCACTACAAAAAATATTTGCATTGTAGGACCATGATGTTGGCAAGGGAGATGGAGAATATTATGGTAAACAATTATTTAGATGTCCAATGAATCATGCTTATTTCACTCCAATTGACCATTTGCATAATAGACTAAATTTTGAACTAAACAAGTCTAGACAAAAATTTCATCACAGCTTGAAGGAGCCTCACAAAATTAGTAATATTCCAAAGTTTCGTTGCAAAATGTTGTAAAATGCGGAAAATATAGCCTTGCGAAATTTGCAATTTTCAGTCATTTTAGATTACAAACGAGAAATTGACAGCCCCAAACCCTTCGAGGCTGTCAATCTCCGGTTTGTAATCTAAAATGACTGAAAATTGCAAATTTCGCAAGGCTATATTTTCCGCATTTTACAACATTTTGCAACGAAACTTTGGAATATTACTAATTTTGTGATGCTCTTTCAAGCTGTAATGAAATTTTTGTTGAGATCAAAATTTAGTCTATTACGCAAATGGTCAATTGACAATGTCATCTCACAAGATAAACTTCAAGAGCTGCATGGTGAATTTGAAGATGTGACTGTAGCCAGTGGTTCATGTAAGTGACATGAATTGTTCAATATAAACTAGCATGTTGCTGACAATTTTATGGGGTAGGGGATTCAAGGCTTGGAAAGGTAAAAATTAACCTGTTGAGCAGCAATGACAGATAAAATCGTCTGCAATTAGGTTGAGTAAATACTAAAGTAGTGCGCATTAGGGCAAAATGCAACCTAAATGGTTAACTAGAAACTTGGGCAGAGCTTAACCCATAAAGTGGTGGCACTTCTCAATTAACGGGTAAAATGGCTTGGCTTAGAGACACACAAGAGTAAAACAAAGTAAGATGCCATGCAACTTAAGGAGTGGGTTTCAGGAAAGAGATGCAGGCAAAGTTAAATTTTTCATTTTTAATATATATCTATATCTTCAATTTATTAATTTTCAGCTTTACGAAACAATCCACCAACTTTGCCACAAATGTCAGAGGATATTTTGAATATGGAATCAAAATTTTCAAAACAGTCTGAAGATGAGGTTACCAAGAACCAGGAATACAAAGAGAGAAAAAATCTTGAGAAAAGCAGAGCTGGCATTGGAACATCATTTAATGAACAGTGGAAAGAATCAAAGAATGAAAATGAATCAAAACGCAAGGAGAATGAAAAGAAACGGCCCACTGGATATCAAAAGGACGAGTATTCCTACACGTTTTACATTCTTCTTAGAGGGAGGTTGGCTAAAAAACAAGACAAATGCTACAGTTATTCGCGTGCTGACTCGAAATATTTACTTGAGGGGGAAATATTGATTCGAAATCTTACTACAGTTGTTGACAGTACAAATGGAACATTAAGACTCCATCCTTATGGCAAAGCGACATATTTTTGTGACTGCCCTCTTGAAGAAATTAAACCACTTGAAGACGAGGAAGCTAAGTTATTACTTTCTTTTAAATCGAATGATGAACGAATCAAGTTCTATATAAATAGTAATTTGGACAGTGGTAAGAAAATGACCATTGGTAGTAATGTTTATGTCAAGATTCGATCAGTTGGTGGTGGCATGCAGGAATTACGGGGTGTAATTAGGTACAAAGGACCTTTACCAGAAGAGCATGGTACAATGTTCGGTGTTGAGTTACTGGTAAGTAGGGACGTGAGAAACCAATTCTCAAAAATCGGTGTCACAGGAATTTCGCCCCCCCCCCCAGGAGATTCGCCCCCTCTCAAAAGGGGGGTGATATTCCTAGGAATATCGCTACCCAGGGAGGCGAATACTCTAGGAATATCTTCTCCTTTTAGGAAATTCGCCCTATATGCGATGTGGTTTATTCCATAGAGATTATAAATAACACTAGAGGAGGCATCGAGTTTAAAGATTGGGAACGCAGCTAAAGGGGGCAAATTCAAGTCCCGGATATAAAATCGTGCTCTCATTGGCTGATTTAAAACTCGTCGCCAATGGGAACTTGAATACACATCCGGGACTTGAATTTGCCCTCCAATAGCCACGTTCCCCTTTTTTAACTGAATTAAGATTACAATGCCTCCTCTAGTGTTATTTATAATCTCTATGATTTATTCAAATAATTTCGTGATACTTTGATCTTATTAGTGCCTTACACGTTTGAGAATGTAACTCCGCAAAACTAAAAGCTTTTTTTGTCTTTTTTAAAACGTATTATTGGAATATTGGCAAGTTTTGCCATTCAGAGATTTACAAACTAATATTGAAATAATGCAAGTAAAAAAAACAGTTTCATATACGCGCATTCACTAATGAGTAATGACAACTTATAAGCCATAACGACAAAACGTGGATGCTAAAAACAATTTTAACAATACTTTAATAATCTTTTATATTTTATAAATCCATTTTGAAAATATTTAATACGAAATGTTTCTGAGCCTTGAATGGGTATGACACATTAATGGGCTGTACATACTAAGACCATCTATTTAGTTTATATTTTGAAATTCGATCAATTCCATCATGTTTATCAATATGACGTGCTTCAGTGTTTACAACATAGCCATAGGAAAATAACAACACGCTGAGGCGAAGGCAACCAAGTTCCGAATTTGGCAAATGTGTTTAATACTGACCACTGTTAACCGCATTTCTTTATTAAAAACACGATAGTAAATTTATAGCTTAGCTTGAGCTGATGTGGTGGTATAGACCTAAATACCATAAACATGATCTATATATAAGAATAACTTAACCAATTCAATTATTTTCAATCAATATCAATGAATAATTTTGTGAATACTCATCGGTAAAGACAAGTAGATTTTTAGTGCTCTTTATAATGAAGTTGATTTAAACAGTTTGAATATAAAAAAAACATATACTGTAGTTTATGCATCTGGCAGTTTAATAATTAAAAAAAGACAAGTTTTGACAATACCAATAATTACAATAACCACCACGGGATTACTTTTTTAACAATGAGTTTACGGATTAACACCGAAAATGCAAAATATGCATATATGGAGTCATAAGACCTATTGATCTACTGTAAGCCCTTTCGATACATGTAATTGTAAGTTTGTATTCTTAACAATTTTGAATTGATACTGATTTCAAATGACTAAAGCCATGTAATAATTACGGTTACCACTGAGTAATTTAAAAAAATACAAAACAATGGACACTCCGAAAACGGTTAACATTTGAATTAAAATGTTAACCGTTTTCGGAGTGTCCATTGTTTTGTTTTTGTTTTTTCATGTAATAATTATCCCATGCAACTGTTAGGAAGTGCCAAATTTTGAACGGAGGACGAAAATCCTAAAGAAAAGGTGAAGTAGAAAAAAGGGGGGCGAATTTCCTAAAGGGGGCGAGTTTCCTAGGAATTTCGCTCCCTGGAGACAAATTGTAGCGGGGGGGGGGGGGGGGGGGGGGGGGCGAAATTCCTGGGACACTGGTACTCTCCGTAGAAACGAGAGAAAACCTGGAATCTACAATTTACTATACATTAACGTTTAAATTGCTTAAGTGAATTCGTGTACTTATTTGATTGAAAATATGTACAATTGTTTCCTTTTATCTCAGGAAGGTAAAGGCAGAGGCATAACTGATGGATTGTTCAAAGGAAAAAGATATTTTAAATGTGAATCAGAATGTGGTGTCTTTGTATCATTAGAAAAATTGAGATTATGTGATGCTACAGATGAGAGCCTGTTTGTCAAAGTTAAAAATAAAATTGTAGAAGGTATTTCGAATGGTTTTATGTCACCAGTAGAGCAAGCAAATGAGGAAGCAGTTTCAGAAAAGCAAGATAAAAGTATGGGACATAAACAACACGACAGAGTTTGGGTATTTATAAATGATAAACCATTTGCAGGATTTATAAGATATATTGGCCGAGTTCCAGGTTATTATGGGATTTTTGCTGGCATTGAAATGGTAGGTACTGTTTATTCTGAAATGATTTGTCATGTCAGATTAATGGATTTCATTCTCATCATTCATTTCATCTTCAAGATAGCCATACTATAAACCGTCAGCAATTGAACATATGTTACAAAGATTTTATGTTGTGTGGTTTCGTATTGTAGGACAATGCTGTTGGCATAGGAAATGGAGAGTTTTATGGGAAACAATTGCTCACATGTCCAATGGACCATGCTCATTTCACTCTAATTAAAAATGTGTTATCAGAGTTAGAATTTCAAGAACTGTATGGTCAACCTAAAGATGCTACTGTGGCCAGTGGTCCATGTAAGTTTCTAATATTAAGCACATTCAAGGTATATAAAACAGTTCCTTACCACACAGTTTCCTTCAAGGTCTAGAAACCCTGTCATTCCACTTTTTCTGTACTAATCTGACGCTTTCCTAGGTCCAAGAAATCCAACTTCAACAAACCATCATCAAATGGCAAATACTCGTATACAAAGTAACTTAGAATTTGGCTCAATGGTTGAAGTCTCGAGTAAAAACCAAACTCCTAGATATGGTAAAATTCGGTGGCTAGGATTTGTTCCAAACAGCGACAAGAAAATCGCTGGTTTAGAACTTGTAAGTTGTGTTCTACTTATTCCTCAATGAAAGACATTTTTACTACCTCTGCACAATTTAAGAAAGGTTAACTAAAGATGGAAATACGTAATGGTCATACTATCTGTATAATATCAGTATTATGAATGCACCACCCCTGCATGGACCAAGATTACCGGTGAAATATGTTGAGAGGCAAACATTTAATGTTGTATTCGGCCAATAAGCAGAACAGATGCAGTTAAATTTTCTTGCCCCTATCATTGTTGACAGTTCTGGTTGATCACCATTTGCTGATGTAGTGCTAATACATAAACCCACCAGAATTAGCCATTTCCTTCATAAATTCACAATTCCTTCTTTAGGAAGAAGAAATGGATTCCTGCACAGACGGAACTTTTCTTGGTAAACGTTACTTTACATGCCCAAACAAACGTGGATTCTTTGTTCATCTTCACAACTGTTTACCCGATTCAAGATTTCCGAGAAATTTCGTAGAGAACCATGCAGACAAACGTTTGAGTGGGACAGGTGAGCATTTTGTACCAATTTTTCCATGGTCGCAAATGTTCAGGGCATTTTATAGCTTCTATCACCAAAACAAAGATTTATATTTATTATTATTATTAATTAATATTTATCTGCATTATTTCGCTTGTAGATTTTGGAAGCTACTATTCACCGATTATAGAAGATGTGTTTATCCCAGCTCCTGAGAAATTGAATGTATACTTAAAACAAGGAAAAAATGCCCAAGGAATACAAGGCCATCATGGCTCGTGTTATTTGGATGCCACGCTGTTTGCAGCATTTGCATTTTCTTCTGTCATGGATTCAATATTATTACGACCAAAACATGAAAAAGACATTGATGACTACGAGAAAGTACAGACTGTGCTTAGAAATAATATTGTTTATCCGTTAAGATCGTAAGTGATGTGCAAACTAAAAAAATTCATACAGGATAAATATATCAATTCTAAACTGTTCACTTTAGAGGTCTGGAGCCATGGCTTAATAACTAAATGTCAGTACAGGAGGTATAAACCTACACACTCTGTAGAATCATAGTCAAATAGAATGAGAATAGCGAACTCCATGCAGACATAAGGGACCTCTATGTTTCTGTCTTGGTTTATGCACGAAATGGTCGTTTCATCGTCACGTGTGTGTTGTATTTTTGCTAGAGCAATCAGCAGTATGTTTTCATTTAACCATTGACATTGTGTAACATCACAACTGGGTAACACTGCTATTGGTTGCTGTAGTGAAAAAAAACGTTACACACGTCATAAATCATTTCTGTCTGTTGGAAGACTACAGTTCAAAGTTCTTAGCTGCTTTATCCCAATCTAGTCATGGGTTTGTCCGTGCAGATCGTGTCCTGGAACTTCGACAACTACTCGATAAATTGGGAACTGTCACAGGATTGGTCGGAGAGGAAAAAGGTAACATGCCCGACTGCTCACCTCGTACCATCACTATATTGGATGAAAAGGAATTTTCTTCTTTGCATGGCAAAAATGTTTTTATCCTTCGAATCCCTGGGTATTGGTTGCATCCACCTACACTATATAAGTCAGCGTTTTGTTTCTTATTTTAGATCCTGGAGAGTTTTTAACCACACTTCTTCACCAAGTCCTGAAATCGGAACCATTTTTAAAAATCAAGTAAGATTGAACTGACCAAACTGTGAGCTAATATTAGGAAGTGATGAAATATGTTTAAAAGGTAGTAATCACAGAGTAGGATTAAGAAGAATGCTAGAATAGTAATGTTCTATCTTGCAGATCAGGAAAAGATGTAAGCAATGAATATTTCTATCAAGTTCTCGCTGACAAAGATGTTGAACGTGTTTTACCTTCTGTTGAAGAACTTCTCAAGAAATCATTTCATCAATCTGATTTGAAACTTACCGAGGTAGATAAAGCTGGATATATTTTCGTATCAAGTATTACGCTTACCTAATTACTTACTTAGCCTAGACTATTTATCTTTACAACAATTGTGATCACTTTCTCAACTGTGTTTATCCTAACCCACCCTGTCAACTTTCCCTGTGGGAGGAAACCTGAGCACCCGGAGAAAACCCACGACTTTCGGCAGAACGTTGACCGACTCTTTTCACATGAGTCCATAGCGAGAATCCAACCCACGATCTTAGAGGTGAAAGGCGCATGCTTTGACGACTGTGCCACTGAAACCTCCTACAATGGACCATTTGCGTAATAGACTAAATTTTGATCTCAACAAAAATTTCATTACAGCTTGAAAGAGCATCACAAAATTAGTAATATTCCAAAGTTTCGTTGCAAAATGTTGTAAAATGCGGAAAATATAGTCTTGCGAAATTTGCAATTTTCAGTCATTTTAGATTACAAACCGGAAATTGACAGTCTCGAAGGGTTTGGGGCATCAATTTCCCGTTTGTAATCTAAAATGACTGAAAATTGCAAATTTCGCAAGGCTATATTTTCCGCATTTTACAACATTTTGCAACGAAACTTTGGAATATTACTAATTTTGTGATGCTCCTTCAAGCTGTGATGAAATTTTTGTGTAGACTTGTTTAGTTCAAAATTTAGTCTATTGCGCAAATGGTCAATTAAAAGGGCTGAAATGTGCTTTAAAAACCATCATTCACAAGGCTAAACTGTGCCTTTAAGCCATATTAAGCCCTGTCAAACGAGAATGCGAACAACCTCGATCCTATAGTGTCTTCTCTCTTGTTGAGAATATAGAGGTTCAGATTTGACTATCGCTACGACTACCTCTAACTGCATGGCTTAGTACAGATTGGTTAAATAAATATATCAAACGTATCTGATTGGTTGATGGTCCCTTAATGGTAGCGGTGGTGGAGGTCAAATCTGAACCTCTATAATAGCCTGCGAACGAAGTTGGAATGACTGCAGTTGATGAAAGTTGCAACTCTCGCTCGTGTTTGACCGGCAACTCTCATCAACTTTGAGCTGGTTCAAATTTTGATGAGAGTTGGCAGGATTTTTTGCTTGTTTGACTCGAAGTATTGAACCCGGTTCTCGTTTAACCAGTGCTTCAAACACTCATTAATAATTCATATGCATAAGCTTATTGGTAGGTCTTTCCCAGGCTTGCCCGATTTTAGGGACTGCCTGCCATGCAGGCTAGCTTATTGGCAAATCATGTCAACCATAATATGTCACGTACAGTGGCTTTAAACCTGATAAAACACTCCTAATTAGTATTCTTTATATAAAGAATACTAATAAGGCAGTATCTATTGTAGTCGTGTCCTCATTAGTATTCTTTATATAAAGAATACTAATAAGACAGTATATCTATTGAATTTGTAGTCGTGTTTGAAGCCGTTTAATAAACTCGCAGGTCGTATTTTATTAGGTCTAAAGC